CAGCCGAGGATGCTGGAGCGTGCGTCGGACTGAAGCCGGACGCCTTCATACCAGATATGGAGGACTCCGTACCGACCGACGAGAAAGCGAATGCGCGCGAGGTTACGTCGTCATATCTTGCTCAGCTCGGGTCGGGTGGCACTCCGGTGATTCCGCGCGTGAACTCGCTGGATACAGGCTTGTTAGACGATGACTTGGCGTCGGTTGTGGGTGAGTATATATATGGCGTGTCGGTGGGGAAAATTGAACGCCGGCAGACATTGCAAATATTTCGAAAAACTGGAAGCATTGGAGCGCAAGGCAGGAATCGAAGTCGGCAGCGTGAGACTGGTGCCGTGGATAGAAACTGCGATGGCGATAGTTCATCTGTATGAGATATGCAAGGCGTCTGCGCGCATATGTGGGCGTGGCGTTGGCGCTGAGGACTCACGAACGACATGGGCATCGAGCGGACGGAGTCGGAAACCGAGACCTATTTCGCGCGCAACAGCATCGCGGTGGCGGCGCGGGCCGCTGATGTGTTGGCGCTGGACACTCATACTTCAGCTTCCGCGATCTGACGGGCTGAGCGAGAATGCGAGCGTCGCGAGGCAGTACGGATTTAAGGGCAAATTCGCCATTCACCCGGCGCAGATTGACATCATCAACGAAACTTTCTCGCCATCCGCCACTGAGATTGAGCAGGCGCGGCGAGTGGTGGAGGCGTTCGATGAGGCGGTCGCCGAGGTCGCGGCTCGACATCGCTGGACGGGAAGGTGGTGGATGTGCCGGTGGTAAAGAGAGCGCAGGCGGTTCTAGAACTGGCTGAATCTATGAGGGACAGTGGCTGACTCGGCACGCTGAAAGAAATAAGAGATAAATAGGACGCAGAAATGGGAGATTCATCTAACAGACAGACCGACAAGATCCTGCTGAAGGGGCTTGCATTTATGGCTCATGGTGTAGTCCGCACGAGAAGGCGCTGGGCAGCGTTTCATTGTGATGTAACGATGGAATGCGATGCACGCGTCGCCGGCCTTCGACGACCTGGCGGATGCGGTGACTATGTTCCCGCCTACGAATCGTGAAGGCCGTAATGGACGGCGACAGCAATGACTGCATAGAGAGCGTTGCAGAGATCTCGCAGGGCAGATTCTCGAGACACTTATGAATTTGAGCGCAGTTAGAGTTACGATGCAGAACCTGAGCGTGCAATCAGGGCAGTATCCTGTCGTACGCGTGGATTGGAAATATATAGGAGGTAAGGGGGGTAGGGGTAATGGGTTGGATGGAAAGTAAGGGTTAGAAGTGTGGGACGAGTAGGATGAGTTGGTGTAAGGGCGGGTAAGGTTGTGGATAGTGGGGTGCACATGGTTAGAATGGGGCAAACAATGGTAGAGGGGAAAAAGAGAGAAAAAAGGGGGGTAAGAAGAGCGTGATGTGGGAGAAGTGGGATTTTAAGGCAAGACTTGGAATGGGGCGGCGTGAGTAGGACTCGCTGCCTCCTTGATTTTCGCCTACACGTGGCTATGTTCGATGTAGCGAAGGCCGAGCGTCCGGACTGTCTTCCTTGCCCCCGTGCGTTACATTGCGGCCCCACCATACCCCACGCCGTAAATTGCGGTCGAAGTCGTAGGCTCCACAGCGCTCGATGTTTTCACTCTCGAGGCTGTGCAAGGGGTATATAGTTGGGTAGCTTGTCATGAAACTGACGAACCGGCGGTCTGAACGACGGTGATGATGAATCAGCCTACGAAAAGCGCCCCCTTGTGCCGTCCGCTCCGTCGCCAATGCGAAGCAGCCGCGCTGGCTTCCTACAAGTGAGACCGCGCCAACACGATGGCATAGGCCCTTGATCCTGGTTGCGCCGGCATACCGAGTGTCAAGCGGGCAGTCCTCTGTCTTTTCGTCCCAGTCTTATTGGAGTGTATCGCATGTGCGTGTCGTCATCACTTGTGGCGCGGGTCGTGTCTTCCGGAACGATGACTGGTCGCGTCGCGTCGTCGAACGCAAGGCTCCACGAAACCAGTGCTGTCGTGAGAGTGCGGGTGCGAAAAGCAGATAGCCTGTATATCCGCCACGCGCCTGTATGTGCTGCATGCGCTGGCTGGTCGTCGAGCAGGCTGATGCAGCGTCGTATATGTACATTGCCGCATGCGTCTGCAGCGCGCAGGGCGCGCTGTCCAATAGAGAACGAAGCACTATGCCGATACCGGTAGACCGGGGTCCCAAGGTCCCGGACTTCATTGGCGGAACCAAACCTTGCGCCTCAGCTCATCCATCGTGGTCCACTGCTGCCCGTCCCAGCCGATGTACGGCGCGGATCATCGCAGATGGGCAGTTCGTCGGCGGCGGAGGCGTTCTCACTCTCGGTGAATTCGGACGCGCATGTCCTTGCAGATATAGTTTTTGCATCGCACCTACTAGTATATCAGTTTGTCGCTGGTCGGTGTGCCAGTGCGGGAATGTCTGTTATTATTGTTGTGTTCATCGTGGTCTGGTGGCTACGAGTCTGCTGGTATTACAGCAGCAATGCAGAGCATGCTTGAAAATAAGAGTGGATGGCGAGCGACAATGCCCGGCAAGGCTAGACACTTGGTGACTGCGAGCGACGGCTACAGAGCCTCTGACTATCCGCGAGAGATCCGCAATAATCTCATTGTTAGATCCAGAACGTGCGACGAACTTTTTTCCCTTTCCCCGGTATTGTCAGGCTGAGATACGGTCATACCGCAGTGGAGAACTGCGATTCTCGCTGGGCAGGACATGATCCTGCTAGGCGAGCGTGGGCATGCGAAGTCCCGCTGATATTCGGCACATGTGTCGCTGCTTTCGCCGAAGAAGTGCCCGTGATGGACCGTGCGAGCTTAAACTGCGATCCACATAGAGCCTATTTGTGCGGAATGCAGTTACGCATCGTGCGGAAGGCGATGACAGCGACTGTTGCGCTGGGCGCTGCATCGGGACGGGCGATATAGCGAAAAGCTGGCGACTCCCGACATCACCGTCCGCCGACTCTGATAGGCGAGTTGACCCAATCCATGTGGCCGAGGGCGCTACCTTTCGGACGAGCTGACGATACAACTACGGTCTGAACCAATCCGACCGCGCACCAACCGAGGATATTCGGCATCACACATTGCCGACCTGTCGAGCGCATACAGTGAGCCTGTTCAGCCTGAGCAGGAGCGGGACAATCCAGAAGTTAAGGCTACCGCATTATGCTGCCGCTCGATGTCTTCCTGATAGCGACAGCGAACCAACCCGAGGACTACACGAACCGCGGACGTATCATCACGCCATTGAAGGACGTTACGGGCGCAGATTCGGACGCACTACCCGCGTCTCACTGGACGAAGAGATATGTATTGTGGAGCAGGAGTATGCAAACTTCGAAGATACCATAGCAGCGTAAGTGCCGCATTACATGAAGGAATTATCGCAGAGATACGGCTCTGGCGCGCGTAGCCCAGACTCACCAGCGTTCGGGTGTCAGCCTGCGAGTGTCCATTGCCAACTATGAGACGATTCTGAGCGCGGCGTTCAAGCGCAGCTACGGCACGGCGAGCCGCATCGCCACGAGTCAGCGATCTCCTGCCATTGTTGCTTCCACCACCCGTTTCAAATGAGATGGAGAGCGTGGGAAGAGGGCGCGAGTTTTCGAGTAATCGACGATCTTGTGAAAAAGGCTGTGCTGAATCATTCGGTACGCTATTACCAGCGCGCCAGTTCGCGGATCTCATCGCAGCATTTGAGGAAGCGCTGACGATAGAGACGGGTAGCGACGTGCCTTCAGAAGACTATCTGACCAGCTACGCTCACATGGGCGAGTGCACTGATTGATGACATCGAAGAATCGCAGACGCGGCGCTCAGCTGCCTCTGCGGTGGAGTTCGTGCTGGAGGGGCTGCATCGAACCGCGGCTGAACTGCGATCGGGTTGGGGGGCAGTACATCTATAGCGGCTAGGACAAACCTGGCATTGATACGCAGGATGGACGGTATTGTATCCATCCGTAACTTGAGGATTGAAATATATGGCACAGGCTAAGCCTTTGAGCGAGATTCCACGAGCATACGAGCCGCAAAGCGTCGAGCAGCGCATCTACGACTTCTGTCTGATGGCGGTACTTCAACCGGAGATCGACCATGAGCGCGAGCCGTTCACGTTATCTATGCCACCAACCGCCCAATTTCTACCGGTCGCGGCGAGTGCACATGGGCACTGCGCTTACGATTGCGCTTGAGGACCTGATGGTGCGCTGGCATCGATGAAGGGTCACCCCGCGTTATATCTACCCGGCTCGGACCACGCGGGCATCGCTACGCAGGTGGTTGTGGAGCGAATGCTCGCGGGTGAAGGCGTAACTCGCCATGACTTAGGGCGCGACGGGTTCAACGAAACAGTGTGGCAGTGGGTAGATAGGTATGGCAGCAGGATATACGAGCAGACGAAGCGAATAGGCGCGTCATGCGACTGGACACGCGCGGCATTCACGCTGGACGAGGGACCGAGCAATGCAGTGCGCGCGACTTTCGTAAATCTCGTACAAGAAAGGGCTGATTTACAGAGGAGAGCGGATTACCAATTGGTGCCCGCGCTGCCGAACGGCGCTCTCAGACCTGGAAGTGAAATATCAAGAAGAGAGCGGCAATCTGTATAACATCCGGTATGTGCTGGAGGACGGCAGTGGCGCGCTGGTTGTCGCCACATACGCGGCCTGAGACGCTGCTGGGCGACACAGCGGTAGCAGTGAATCCGGAGGATGAGCGGTACACGGATCACATCGGTAAGAGCGCGGTGCTGCCTGTGATTGGCAGAAGGTTGCCGGTCATTGGGGACGACGCCGTCGAGCTTGGATTCGGTACAGGAGGCTCTGAAAGTTACGCCGGGCCACGACCCGACCGACTTCGAGATAGGGCAGCGACACGGGCTGCCGAGTGTCAGCGTGATGAATCTTGACGGTACGCTGAATTCAAACGCCGGACCTTACGAGGGTCAAGACATGTCGGAGGCTCGTAAGAATAATAGTCGCGCAACTTGAAGAGGACGGGCTGCTGGAACACATCGAGCCGTATCGTCATTCGGTGGGGCACTGCGACAGGTGCGACAATGTTGTCGAGCCGATTATCACGAACCAGTGGTATGTGAAGATGGAACCACTGGCTAAGCCGGCGCGTGACGCCGTGGCAAGCGGCGAAACGCGGATAATTCCTGAGCGGTTTGCCAGAGTCTATTTCAACTGGATGGACAATATCCGCGACTGGTGCATCAGCCGCCAACTGTGGTGGGGACATCGCATACCCGTATGGTACTGCGACGACTGCGATGAGGTGATAGTGGAGCTTGATGACCCGACAATTTGCGACGCGTGCGGGTCTAGCGCGCTGAGACAGGACGAGGATGTGCTGGACACATGGTTTAGCTCGGGACTGTGGACGCACTCGACGCTCGGTTGGCCGAATGACAGCGAGGACCTGGATTACTTCTACCCGACTAGCGTGATGGAGACGGGCTACGACATCATTTTCTTCTGGGTGGCGCGGATGATGATGATGGGCATCGAAAATATGGGCGCGTCGCCGTTCCATACCGTCTATTTGCATGGGCTTGTACTCGACCCTGAAGGCGTGAAGATGAGCAAGACGCGGGGTAACGTGCTTGACCCGCTTCAGCTAATCGACATATACGGAGCGGATGCGCTGAGGTTTGCGCTGACAATTGGGAACTCGCCGGGCAACGACCAGCGTCTCAACGAGCAGAAGCTGGAGGCGAGCCGAAACTTCGCCAACAAGCTGTGGAATGCCGCGCGCTTCGTCATGGGCAACCTGGAAGGCGCTGGTGCGGCGCTTGACGGCTGGCATAGTCCCGATCTGCCCACACACAGGCAAGACCGCTGGATAATGAGTCGTCTGAATCGCTTGACGGAGCAGGTCGAACAGTTCATGCAAGACTACCAGTTCGGCGAAGCGCAGCGGGCGATTCACGATTTCTTCTGGCATGAGTATGCGGACTGGTACATTGAGATGGCGAAAATTCGGCTGCGGTCCGATGGCGATGACGAGGAGTCGCCGTTGCCGTATCTCGCTTATGTGCTCGAGCGCGTGCTGCGGATGCTGCACCCATTCATGCCGTTCGTGACCGAGGAGATATGGCAGGCTCTGAAGGAGCGCGTCCAGCCGATCCCGATGCGCCCGACGCCCTGATTGTAGCGGAGTATCCGGATGCGAACGCGGATTTCTACGACGAAGAGGCCGAGGACGACATTTCCCTGGTAATGGAGACCGTGCGCTCGATACGAAACTTGCGTGCTGAGTTTCGCATACAGCAACATCAGCGCATCGAGGCGGTGCTGGATCTGCCACAGGACGGCGCGGTCGCGGAGGCAGAGGCGGACGTAATTAAGATGCTGGCGCGTGTGGAGCCGTTGAAGTTCGGCGCCGAGAGCAACGGTGCTATATCGAATGACAGCGTTTCGCTGGTGCTGTCGAAGGGTGTGGTTACGATCCCACTGGGCGGACTGGTGGACTTGGACAAGGAACGCGAACGTCTTCGCAGCGAGATCGCGGACATCGAGCTCAACAGGGATCGGCTTGCCGTGCGCCTGAGTGATGAGCGGTTCTTGTCAAGAGCACCCGACGAGGTGGTAGAGCGCGAACGTGAACGGCTGGAGAGCATCGAAGAGCGTAAGGGCAGGGCGGAGGATATTCTGGCAAGGCTAGGGTGGGTAGGGCGCGCCCGCGCTTAGGTCGAAATGCTTCCGCTACTAGTTACCGCTCGGCGTCGTAATGCGATGGATTCCTGCAAAAGCAGGAATGGCGAAGAGCGACATCTGCCTGCGCGAAAATCCTGCTGATGCTGTCACGCATTATGCCGCAAGTGGGACGCGACGGCAATATCATTGTTGCTGCCGCTGCGCTGCGAACGCTGGATTACGGCTTTATCAGTGTCTTTCTGGGCGTTTACCTGACGCTGCTGGACTTCAGCGCGCTGCAGGCGGGGCTTGTGTTCAGCGCGATAATGGCTGGAAGCGCGCTTTCCAACACGCTGGCAAGCTGGAAGGGCGACACCATCGGGCGCAAGCGGATGTTCATTGCAATGTCGCTGCTGATGGTCGCGGGCGGGGTGGGCTTCTCGATTTCCTCAGACATTGTGGTTCTGATGTTGGTCGGCGTGTTCGCGGTGACGACTTCCGGGGGCGGCGACCGCACGGCCTTTATATCACTGGATACTGCCGTGCTGGCAGAAGCTACCGCGCCGTCGCAGCGCACGGTGGTGTTTAGCTGGTATAACCTTGTGACTATCTTTACGCGGTCGCTGGGGGCTCTGCTGATTGCGCTGCCTGTGCTGTTTCAGCAGTGGACGGATATTGGCGAACTGGCGTCATTCAAGCTGATGTTCGTTATATACACCGTCATTGCCGCTGGCGCTATTCTGCTGTACGCACGCCTGTCGCCGCGCATCGAAGTGCAAGGGAAGGCGGTTTCTGCGAGCAGGGAGAGCGTTCCCGCTGGGGCTCCGTCTGCTCGCGGTATTATATGGAAGATGACCGGACTGTCGGCGCTGGACGCGTTGGGCGGTGGGTTCGCAGTTCGCAGTTTTGTATCATTCTGGTTCGTGAACCGCTTCGGCGTTGACCTGCTCGGCATATCGGGCATCTTCTTTGTGGCACAGCTACTTAATGTGGTGTCGGTTGCGCTTGCTGCGCCGGTGGCTGCGCGCATAGGGCTTGTGAACACGATGGCATTCACGCAGGTTGCTGCGAACCTAATGTTCATCGGGATGGCGCTTTCGTTCAATGTGTGGCTGGCGGTGGCGTTCTTTCTGCTGCACGAGATATGCAATGACATGGATGTACCCACGCGCCAGTCGTACACTATGGCAATCGTGCCCGCGGAGTCGAGGACTGCGATGGCTAGTCTGAATAACCTTGGGCGCAATGCGGCGCAGACAATCAGTCCTACTTTGGCGGGGATTATCGCGCAGGTGGCGTATCTGGGTGCGCCCTTTCTGGTCGGCGCTGTTACGAAGCTTGTTTACAACGCCCTGCTGTTGCAGATGTTTCGCGGAATAAAGCCGCCCGAGGAGCATGGCGAAAGGGGCTGACTTTGTTTGTTAGATAGGACTGAGGGGATAGAGGCCGGACGTGATCCGGCATGCTCACCACTGACAATCGGTTGGGTCTAGGGTTGTTCTGGGGCGTAGCCGATGGCTGTCGAGTTGGGCTGGGCGTTGGCCAACTCCTGAAGCTGAGCCATGCCTTTCCGGGTGTCGCTTGCAATTTTGGCCTTGTCCGAGATGTGAACGCGGTGCTTGAAGAGCCAGTATAAGAACTCCTTGCATTGGCTGAGGGACATTGAACTCGCGTCGGGATAGCCCATCTGGTCGCAGAAATCTTGAAAGAGTTCTGTCCGGCCTCGCCGATAAATCCTAAAGAAGGCCTCTTCAGTGAAGTCGTCCTGATACTGATTGCCATTGCTGACTTCGCGCTTATGCACTTCGCGCTCAACCGCTAGCTGCAAGGCTTCCTCGACGACCACACCGTAGAAGTAATTTAGGTATCCGCTGTGCTTCTGCACACCGAGCAAATCTCTGAAGCCTTCTGCATCAAAACTCTCCGGGAAGCGGCCCGTGAAGAGCAGTGTTTCACGCTCGTCCTTCGGAATAAGGTCACCGGCAACATTGATCAGGCGCTCCGCCATTAGCAGCCAGTCGAATGCTTCTCCGTCGATGAAATAGTTGTTGTATCTGTCGCCTATAGTTTCTGTCGCAGTGCGCCAAATTGACATGGTTTGCAGTATCGCAGTGGGCCAGTCCACCCCGCGCTCAAGCGCGCCTAGCAGGTGCGCTATGGCTTCGGCGTCTTCTCCGTCTGTGGGCGCAGTCGGAGCGACGGCATCGATGACATCATTCTCGTGCAAGTCTTGCAAACGCTTCCGTCCTCTTGCTTTTGGGCAACCTGAGATATTCGAGGAAACTGCCGAAGGGTAGAGTGTTGAGGATGTGGTGAGGTTCGCACCACGCTCTGCGCGCCACGCCAACTCCGAAGCGGGTGTTGTTCAGCGCTTCGATGGTATGGGCATCGGTACTGATGGCAAGGGGGACGCCAAGTTCGCGGGCGCGGGCCGCGTGGCTGTCTCTGAGGTCCAGGCGCTCCGGCGAGGCGTTGATTTCTAAAGCGGTACCGGTTTCCGCCGCCGCCCTGAATATGGCTTCATAGTCGGCTTCTACGGGTTGTCGTTCGCCAACGAGCCGGGTGCTGAGGTGACCGATGACATCTACGTGAGGGTTGCGCATCGCCTTAATGACACGCTCAGTCATTGTGGCTACGTCCTGACCCATACCGGAATGAATGGAGCCTATCACCCAGTCTAGGCGCTCAAGAACATCGTCATCGTAGTCGAGGCTGCCATCCGCGCGGATGTCCATCTCGGTGCCGCATAGCAGGCGAATGCCGCCGATGTCGCACTCGAGTTGGCGGACAAGCGCCATGTGCCTTTCGAGCCGCTCTACACTAAGCCCGTTTGCGATTCCCCTGCCGACAGAGTGATCGGTCATTGCAAGATATTCCAAGCCGCGTTCTTTAACCGCGAGTACCATCGCTTCCATGGGGTCGCGCCCATCGCTCCAATCGCTGTGATCGTGAAGGTCGCCGCGGATGTCTGACACTTCGACTAGTCGCGGAATCCTGTTTTCGAGGGCTGCCTTTACTTCGCCGACACCCTGTCGTAGTTCAGGTGGTATGTATTGCAAGCCCAGACGGTTGTAGAGCGTCTCTTCGTCGGGGAACTCTTCGATGACGCCTGTTTCCCTGTCTGTGATTCCGTACTCGTTCAATGACAGGTTAAGGGCGTTTGCCCGGTCGCGCAGCAGAATGTTGTGCTGCAAGTTTCCTGAGAAGTATTGCAGCAGCGCTCCAAAGTGCCGCTCGTTCACCACACGCAGGTCAACCTGAATCCCGTCGGTGAGATACACGGACGCCTTAGTGTCACCGTGTCCGATTACATCGGCAACGTTGGGCATTGCGACGAGCGCATTCAGCACTTGAGAGGGGTCGTCAGCGGTGCATACCAGGTCAATGTCCCCGATGGTCTCCTCGAAACGGCGCAGGCTCCCGCCGGGGACGATGCGCCTAATGCTGGGGCATTGTTCCTGCAGTGATCCGATTAGCCTGTCGCAGATCGGCTGCGCGCGTGCGATTGGCATTCGCTTGCTCTGGCTGCGTTGGAACTGGATCTGGCGAGCGATGTTCTCGGCGGTCTTCTTGCCGAGGCGTGGTAGGGACGCTAGGCTGCCGTCATCTATGGTTGCTTGTAGTCCGGGGATGTCGGTTACGCCAAGATCCTGCCAGAGTCGGCGCACGGTCTTTGGTCCCAATCCAGGGATTTGCATTACTTCGAGGATGCCGTCTGGGAACTCAGTCTTGAGGTTGTCGTAGTAGCGCAGGGAGTCTGTCTCGACCATCTCGGCGATCTTTTCTGAGATGGCCTTGCCGATGCCGGGAATCGTTCGCAGGTCTTGCTCGTCGCGGAGCATGTCCTGGAGTTCCATGGGCAGGCGCTCGATGGTGCGGGCGGCGCGCTGGTAGGCGCGGATGGTGAAGACCTTCTCGCCCTTCATTTCAAGTAGGCCGGCGATGTTCTCGAATGTTTCGGCTATCTGGGCGTTGTTCATGGTATGCAGGTCAATCTTTCAGTTTCTCAGAAATTCAGTGTTCTGGCGTTCTGACAGGATTCACGATGCGGATTGCGTGTTTATCGTCCCCACCCCAGCATTCTCTTTGGGGTGAAAGCGCTCTCTTTACGCTGCCTTAGATTCGGCGGGTAGTCGGTGTTATGCGCCGTGGCAGCGCTTGTATTTCTTGCCGCTTCCGCAAGGGCAGAGTGAGTTGCGCCCGACTTTGCGGCTGCCCGCGGGGACGGCTTCGCGCTGGTTGGAAACGACGTTGGTCATCACACTGGCGTTATCGCGCTCTGATGCCCCGTTCGATCTCTGGCGGCGACCGTTGGCGTTCGCGTTGCCCTTGTTGCTGCCATTAAGTCGGGCGTTCTGCTGCATCATATCGCCGATGTTGTAGATTGCATGCACGATGTCGCGCTGGATGCGGGACTGCAATTCCTGGAACTTCTCGTGGCCTTCCTTCTTGTACATCACGAGCGGGTCGCGCTGTCCGAATGCGTGGAGACCGATGCCCTGCCTCAGGTTCTCCATCGCCGTAAGGTGCTGCACCCAGTTGCTGTCGATGACACGCAGCATCACATGGCGTTCCAGGTTGCGCATTTCGTCGGCGCCGAGTTCGTCCTCAACCTTCTCGTACAGGAAAGAGGCGTGTCCCAACACACCTTCCTCTATCTCTTCGGTGGAGTAGTCGCGCATGTCGTCAGGGTCTCTGAATTCGGGCGGCAAGGGCATAATGCCGCTGAGCTCGCTTACAAGGGCTTCCGTATTCCACTGCTCAGGATTGTTGCCGACGAGATACTGCTGCAGCATCTCCACGAGATTCGCCTCGACCATGGAGACCATATTTGCCTTGAGGTCGGCGCCGCCGAGAAGCTTCTCCCGCTCCCCATAGATTACGTCTCGGTGGGTGTTGACGACATCGTCATATTCGACGAGATGCTTGCGGATGTCAAAGTGGAAGGCTTCGGTCTTGACCTGCGCCGATTCGATGGCCTTGCTGACTGCCTTGCTCTCGATGTGCCCCTCTTCCTCCATAGCCCAGCCCATGAAGCGCTTGATGGTGTCGCCGCCGAAGCGCCGCATAAGTTCGTCATCAAGCGCGACATAGAAGCGTGATTGACCCATGTCGCCCTGTCTGCCGGAACGTCCGCGGAGCTGGTTGTCGATGCGACGCGCTTCGTGGCGCTCGGTGCCTAGGATGAACAGACCGCCTTGCTTAAGCACGCGATCATGTTCCGCCTGCCACTCGTCCTCGGATATGCCTAGGGTTTCAGGGTTGCCGCCAAGAATGATGTCCGTGCCGCGTCCCGCCATATTTGTGGCGACTGTCACTGCGCCGGGACGACCGGCCTGAGCTATTATCTGCGCCTCGCGCTCGTGCTGCTTGGCGTTCAGGACTTCGTGCGCCACCCCTGCCTTGCGGAGCATGTCGCTGAGCATCTCAGACTTGTCAATGTCGGTAGTGCCTACAAGGATGGGCTGCCCGGCGCGGCTGCGCTCTTTGATCTCACCCACGACGGCGCGGTATTTGGCGTCTTGATTTGGGTAGATCAGGTCCTGATCGTCCTGCCGAATCATCGGCATATTGGTGGGAATCTCTACGACTTCAAGCTTGTATATCTTCCAGAACTCTTCGCCCTCTGTGGAAGCCGTGCCCGTCATGCCTGACAGCTTATTGTAGAGCCTGAAGTAGTTCTGCAGCGTTATTGTGGCGTAGGTTACAGACTCGCGTTGCACTTTGACGTTTTCTTTTGCTTCGATCGCCTGATGCAGACCGTCGGAGTAGCGCCTCCCCGTCATGAGCCGTCCCGTGAATTCATCTACGATTACGACTTCGCCGTTCTGCACAACATAGTCGCGGTCGCGCTCGAATATGGCCAGCGCCTTGAGCGAGTTCTCGGCATAATGAACAAGCTCGAAGTTCTCCTGCCCGTAGATATTAGTGACATTAAGCATCTTTTTCGAGCTTGGAGATGCCCTCGTTCGTAAGGGCCGCCGTGCGGTGCTTCTCGTCGATGGAGTAATCGTCTTCACCTTGCAGGGTTGTGGCGAGTCGGGCGAAGCGGCGGTATTCGTTGGGTGATTGTTGCGCGGGGCCGCTGATGATGAGCGGTGTCCGCGCCTCGTCGATGAGGATGTTGTCCACCTCGTCCACGATTGCGAAGTCGCGGTTGGTCTGCACGCGCTGCGCAAGTTCGACGACCATGTTGTCTCTCAGATAGTCGAAACCGAACTCGTTGTTCGTGCCGTATGTGATGTCCGCGGCGTAAGCCTCCCTGCGCTCTACGCGGCGTAGCTTCTCCATGCCTCGTTCGGAAGTCTCTGCGAGCGGGTCGAACATGTAAGCAGCCTGATTCTGGAGCACGCCAATCGATGCGCCTAGGAAGTGATAGACCTCACCCATCCACTGAGCATCGCGGCGGGCAAGGTAGTCGTTGACGGTGACAACATGGACGCTGCCTGTCAGGGAGTTAAGGTAAGCGGGCAGAGTGGCGACGAGCGTCTTACCCTCGCCTGTTCGCATCTCGGCAATCTTGCCCTGATGGAGCACCATTCCGCCGATGAGCTGCATATCGAAGTGGCGCATACCGAGAACGCGCTTTGATGCCTCGCGCACCGCGGCGAACGCTTCGGGCAGGATCTTGTCGAGTTCTTCGCCGGCTTCGAGGCGCTGACGGAATCGGTAGCGTTGCGTCACGAGGTCGGCGTCGGACATGCGCTCGAACTCGGCTTCTAAATCGTTTATGGCCTCAACGTTGCGGCGCACTTCTTGAGCGCGCCTTCGTTGGAGCCACCAAGCAAATTAGTGAGTGAATTTCAACATGATAAATCTGCCCCGTAGTCAAGAGATTCGTGCCTCGCAACCGAGAGAATTGGTCCCACGGTCTCTTCTGTCGCTTTGCTTCGGCGAGCCGCCGAGGCAAACATGGCGAGCCTCTACTGCCTATTATAACCTACTTGGCAAATCGAGACTGAAGGCGGGTAGAAGGGAAGCTTTGGCGGCGACCAGTTAGGATGGGCTAGCCGCCTGCGCGCAGATGACAGAAAGGGGAGATGTTACGTGCCGCCGCCGTTGAACATAGCGCCGACGGAAGTGCCGCTGTGGATGCGCTGAATCGCCTCCCCTAAGATCGGCGCGACCGATACTACACTGGTTTTCGTCCCCATCTTGGCGGGCGGGACGGGCAGGGAGTCGGTAACGACCAGTTCCTTGATCGTACTCTTTTCCAATATCTCGGTTGCCTTTCCCGCGAGAACGGGGTGAGCGGCGTAGCAGTAGATGTCGCGGGCGCCGTGGTTGCGCAGCGTGTCGGCGGTGGCGATGACAGTGCCGCCGGTGCCAATTTCGTCGTCAACGATGATCGCGGTCCTGTCGCGCACATCGCCGATTAGCGTCGCAGCCTCGACTCGCTCCTGATTGCCGATGCGCACCTTCTCCACGATGGCGATCGGAGCGTCAAGCCTGTTCGCCATGTTGCGGGCCCGCTTCGCGTCTCCGGCGTCCGTCGCCACCACGACGATGTTGCTTTTGACATTTCTGGCGTTGAAGTGATTTGCGAGATTAGGAATCGCGCTGAGTTCGTCGAGAGGAACGTTGAAGAACCCCTGTATCTGACCAGCGTGGAGTTCGAGGGTGAGCACGCGGTCTGCTCCCGCCGTTTCGATGAGATTTGCCACCAAGCGGGCCGTGATGGGCACGCGTGGCTGGTCCTTCTTGTCACTGCGAGCGTATGCGTAGTAGGGAATAACCGCGGTGATCCTACCCGCCGATGCGCGCTTGGCGGCGTCGATCATTATCAGGAGCTCCATGATGTGGTCGTTGACGGGGAAGGCGATGGGCTGAACGAGGAAGACATCTTGCTGGCGAATGTTCTCTAGTATCCTGACGAAGGTGTTGTCATTGCTGAACTTGAACACCTCGCACTTGCCAAGAGGTATGTCCAAGTAGGCGCAAATGTCCTTCGCCAGTTTGCGATGTGCGTTGCCGCTAAACACTTTTAGGTCTTCATACAGAGCCATTGAGTCCCTCTGTCAACATGCTTTCACGTCTCTCCCTTGCCCAAATTGGCGCGTCTCGGAAGGCGTGCCAAATGCGCATGTTCGGCGACTGCGAACTTACTGGAGTGCAATTATAGCACAGGCTCATTCGCCACTTTCAACGAGGTTGCGTGCAAGATTTGGTCAATCTTGTGTGGCGCAGGTGTTCGTTGCGCCGATAGCCATGCCCTCCTTTCTGGTCTATAATCAGCGCGGCATCAGTGCGCGAACAGGCGCTGACTGTGGCAAAACGGAGGTGACGGGATTGGCAAGGGAATCGGGTCGGAGCGTTCCCACGCATCCAAAATTGAGGCTACTGGAGCCGCAGCTAGTGGATTATCAGGGGCAGCGCATGATTTATCTGCACGATAGCCTTGGCATAGCCAGGGATGGGGCTCTGATACCACAGCCTCTCGCGCCACTGCTGTCGCTATGCGATGGAACACGGGATGTTTCTGGACTGCGCTCGGGTTTGCTGGTGCGGACGGGCAACACTCTTCCCGAAGAAGTCATCGCGCAGATTATCGAGCAGCTCGACGATGCGCTACTGCTGGAAAACGGCGCGTATCAGGATGCCGCCGCCGAGGTGGTGCGGCGCTATCGGCAGGCAAGGCATCGTCCACCGTCGCATGCTGGGCCCGTGTATCCGGGAGATGTGGCAGGTCTCAGAAGTGCGATGGGAGGCTACTGCGCAGAGACGCCGGTGCAGGAGAACAGCCATGCTCAGTCCGACGCACTCGTCGGTATGCTATGCCCTCACATAGACTACGCGCGCGGAAACAGAACATACGCAGAGTTGTGGCAACGCGCCAAGCCGTCGCTTGACGATGTGGAGCTGGTCATTATATTCGGAACCGACCATTCAGGCGGGCTTGGCATGATTACGCCGACACGACAAAGCTATCATACGCCATACGGCACTTTGCCTACGGACACGGATATAGTTGACGGACTTGCCGATGTCCTTGGCGAGAAGCGGGCATACCAAGAGGAAATTCACCATATCAATGAGCATTCCATCGAGCTAGCGTCTGTGTGGCTGCATCACTTTCTCGATGGGCGCGCATGCTCCGTCGTGCCAATCTTGTGCGGCTCGTTCCATCACTTTGTGGCGGGAAATGGGCATCCATCGGAGGATATGAAACTAAATTCGGCACTCGATTACCTGAGATATGCGACGACCGCTCGCAACACTCTGGTCATCGCGGCAGGTGATTTGGCGCATCTGGGGCCAGCATTTGGGGCTGATACTCCATTGGATACAATAGCGCGCGCCAAGCTCGCTGCGGCGGATAGCGAGTCGATGACTGACATCTGCAGCGGGGATGGCGCGGCTTTCTTCGAGCGTTCGCGCGCGGAATCGGACTCGCGCCGGATATGCGGCATATCGCCGATCTATCTTATGCTGGAGTATCTGAACGGAAGAAGCCTGCGTGGCGAATCTATGGGCTATGATCAGTGTCCGGCCGACCCTCAGGGCGGGTCGGTGGTGTCGATAGCAGGTGCGTTACTGTATGACGAGAGTCAACATACCTAAGCATTATGGGCAGTATTTTTCAGCAGGACTAATTGTCCGACAAGTTCACTAGGAACGAAAAGAGCTTTTAGTAAGCCGGAGGTGCAAATATGCTCGGCGTAGTATTTACGGGTAACGGCAAGTTGGAAATCAGAGAATTCTCAGACCCGTCGCCGGGTACGGGGCAGGTCGTCGTGGAAATGAAGTCGTCCGGGCTGTGTGGTAGCGACCTGCGGCCGTACCGCTCGTCGTTGGAAGAGCTTGGCCCCCGCGCTGAAGTGATTACCGGCCATGAGCCTTGCGGCATTGTGGCTGAAGTCGGCGCGGGTGTACGGAATGTGCGTGTCGGCGATCGCGTGATGGTGCATCATTACAGCGGCTGCCAGCGATGCGAATACTGCCAGACCGGTTGGACGCAGCTATGCCAGAGCGAGTACCAAAGGGTCTATGGCTCGGGGGCGCACGGCGGCAACGCCGACTATGAGCTCATCGAGGACTACATGTGTGTGCCAATGCCGGACGGTCTGAGCTACGAAGAGGGCGCAGCGATAGCGTGCGGAACGGGCACGGCATACCAGGCTCTGCGTCGGCTCGACGTGTCGGGGCGCGATGTGCTTGCGGTATTTGGGCAGGGTCCAGTGGGACTGAGCGGCACATTCCTCGGGGCACAGATGGGCGCTCGCGTGATTGCCGTTGATCCGGTTGCGGAGCGCCGGGAGCTTGCTGAGGCGTCAGGCGCGTGGAAGAGCATCGACCCGATGCGGGATGACCCGGTGAGCGCGATATATGAGCTGACAGGCGGCAGGGGCGCAGACTGCACACTGGACGCCACGGGTATCGGAGATGTGCGCGCAAACGCCATTCGCAGCACGCGCATTTGGGGACGCGCTTGCCTCGTCGGGGAGGGTGGCACAATGACCGTCGAACCGTCGCCTGACATCATTCACCGTCAGCTTAACCTGTTCGGCTCGTGGACTTTTAGCAAGACGGTGCTGGAAGAGCTGGCGACTTGGGTCGTGGAGCGCGAAATTCCGTTGAGCGACATAATCACACACCGTTTCACGCTGGATAAGGCCGAAGAGGCCTTCACGCTGTTCAGTGGCGCGACTACGGGTAAAGTGGTGTTCAACTGGGACTAAACGGTGGCCTAATCCCTGAAACGGGCGCACGTGCTAAAATGCGTGTGGCTTGCCTGAGGCACGCTGATCCGAGAACTGGTTACTTGCCAACTATGTTGGTACTACGAAGGAGCAGAAGACATGCGCCCAATAATGGATGTCGCGGCTGAGCTGGGATTGGACACTCAGACACTCATCCCGCAGGGTCACTACAAGGCTAAGATACCGTTGAGCGCCGAACGCACGGGCGGCAAGCGAGGCAAGCTCATCGTCGTAACAGGCATTACTCCGACGCCTGCCGGAGAGGGCAAGACGACCACGACCGTCGGCATGGCACAGGGTTTCGGGAGGTTGGGCAAGAAGGTCGTTGCGACGCTGCGAGAGCCTTCACTCGGACCCATATTTGGCATCAAAGGCGGCGGCACGGGCGGCGGCTTGTCTCTCGTGGAGCCGCAGGATGAGGTGAACATCCACTTCACGGGCGATGCACATGCCGTTGGTTCGGCTCACAACTTGCTAGCCGCGCTGACGGACAATGTGGCGCAGCGCGGGCAGATTCCCGGCTTTGGGCCTACGGGTATCACATGGCGGCGCGTGACCGATGTCGAGGACAGGGCGCTTCGCACGATTGTTGCGGGCATAGGCGGTTCCCCCAATGCTCCCCCATGCGTGAATCCGGCTTCGACATTGTCACGGCATCCGAGATTATGGCGGTGCTTGCGCTGTCGTCCAGTCTCGAAAACCTGCGAGAACGGCTGAGTCGCATCGTGGTTGGGCTGAGCGATTCGGGAGAGCCTGTTACGGCTGAAGACGTGAACGCTGTCGGTTCGATGATGTCGCTGCTGCGATATGCGATTCAGCCGAACATCGTGCAGACAACGGAAGGGCAGGCGGTCATAGTGCATGCGGGGCCGTTCGGCAACATCGCGCACGGCTGCAGCTCAGTGGTGGGAGACAGGATTGCGCTTGGATACGCCGACTATGTGCTGACCGAAGCGGGCTTTGGCGCGGATCTGGGCTTCGAGAAGTTCATGCACATCAAGGCGCGATTCAACGGCTTAGAGCCGAGTGGCGCGGTCATCGTGGCGACAGTGCGCGCGCTCAGATCGCACGGTGGAGCACTGCGACGCGAGCTCGATACTCCCAGCGAAGAAAGAGTTCAGCGGGGCATGGCGAATCTGGTACATCTAATTGGCGCAATCCGCTCGTTCGGCTTGCCCGTAGTCGTTGCGCTTAACAGGTTCCCATCCGACACGGAAGGCGAGCTTGCGATAGTCAAACAAGGCTGTGAAGAGGCGGGCGCATTCGCTGCCGTGGACACTCGCGTTTTCACCGAGGGCGGTGCAGGCGGCGTTGATCTCGCCGAGGCCGTAATCGAGGCCACTTCCGGAGACGACCCAGAAATTACTTACATGTATCCAGAGGACGCTTCGATTCGAGACAAGGTGCTTGCGCTGGCGCAGAAGATGTACGGAGCGGACGATGTTTCGTGGGCGCCATCCACACGGAGACCTCTGCGCCGCTACACAGAGCTAGGGTGGAGCGACCTGCCGGTATGCATGGCGAAGACGCACTTGTCTATATCGCACAACCCTCGTCTGAAGGGCAGGCCTTCAGGTTACACGTTCGAGGTCAATGACGTGCGTGCATCGGTGGGCGCGGGCTTCATCTATCCGATCGCCGGAAGCATAATGACGATGCCGGGACTGCCAGGTTCGCCGCGCGCGCTCGATGTGGATGCTGCGGGGAATATATTGGGGCTGTAGGTCAGGGCAGTCGGTTTGCAGCGGTACGAACAGTTTTCACAGTAGATCGGCAGGCCGATCGCCTATGACGAATTTATGAAGTGTTGATGCGATGCCTGAGTTCTTCAATGTGCTTGCACCGGACGCTGCATTCGAGGCGGTAAAGCCGATGCTGCCTTTCGGAGTAGGCGCCGAGGTCATATCGACATCAGAAGCGCTCGGTCGTATTACGGCTGAAGACATTATTCGCACGAAGACCTGCCTGCCTTTGCGCGCTCGACAATGGACGGGTATTCCGTGCGGTCGCGGGACACCTTTGGCGCAAGCGAAGGACTGCCAGCGTACCTTGACCTTGTCGGCGAAGTGTCGATGGGCGAGGCTGCAACTGTGAGTCTTGGTATTGGCCAGGCCGCGAAGGCTTACACGGGAGGGATGCTTGCTCAAGGCGCGGACTCTGTGGTGATGGTTGAGCGGACGCAGGCTCTGGACGAAACTGCGATAGAGGTGTTGCGTGCGGTGGCGCCCGGCGAGAATGTCGTGCAGGTAGGAGAGGATGTGCGTAAAGGCGATGTCATTCTGCCAAAGGGCAGCTGATTCGCCCACAGGACATTGGCGGAATGCTTGCGCTGGGCATCATCCAAGTTGCTGTGAATCGTAAGCCGCTAGTGGGGATTATCTCGACAGGCGACGAGCTTGTGTCACCTTGCTCCGAGGTTGGCGCTGGGCAGATACGCGACATTAACACTTACACCATTTCTGCCCTCGTTACGCAGGCAGGCGGGAAGCCCAAGCCGATTGCGTTGGCACCAGACGACTTTGAGGCGCAGCGCATTGCAGCAGTTCAAGGATTGGCTGAATGCGACGCCCTGGTGTTCTCTGCGGGGAGTTCTGTCAGCAGCCGTGACCTGACCGCCGACGTCATCAATAGCCTCGGCGAGCCGGGCGTAATCGTGCACGGCATATCCATCAAGCCTGGCAAGCCGACGGTCATCGGTATGGTGGACTGTAAGCCCGTATTTGGACTGCCAGGCAACCCAGTGTCTGCGATGGTCGTGTTCGATTTGGTAGTGCGTCCAGCAATATTCCATCTTAGCGGCTGCAAGCGTATTCCCACACTGCCGACCGCGCAGGCGACGCTGCTTCGGGACATACCATCGACGGCGGGACGCGAAGACTATGTGCCGGTGCGAATGGAACGTGCTGGCGATGTAATCAGCGCGGAGCCAGTCTTTGGCAAGTCCAACCTCATTTACACCCTGATTCGCTCGGACGGCGTCGTCAAAGTGCCGTTGGATAAGTCTGGCCTCTATGCAGGCGAGTCAGTTGATGTGCGCGTATTTTAGCATTTTGACCCCATCTGCTTGTTCTTAGGACAAAGTGTATTGACGACCCACTCCCACCGACATGGCCGCCGCTACTATCTCAGCGACATTCCCCTTGAGGATGCGCTCGAGCAGTACCTTGGCGCGCTGGAGGGCGCTGGGGCACTGGAGCACACGCAGTCTGAGATCGTGGCGCTTAACAGTGCGAGAGGGCGGGTTACGGCCGAACCAGTTTGGGCAAACATTTCCTCACCACACTACGATTCGGCGGCTATGGACGGGATTGCGGTTCGAGCCTCGGACACCGTCGGCGCAACTGAGACTTCTCCGTTGCAACTAGCCGTAGGTAAGCAGGCGGTCTGGGTGGATACTGGTGATCCTGTGCCTGACGGCTTTGACGCCGTAATCATGGTAGAAGTGGTGCATGAGGTTGACGGCAATACCCTGGAAATACAGTCGCCTGCCGCGCCGTACCAGCATGTGCGCCCTCTTGGAGAGGACATAGTTGCGACAGAACTGGTGCTGCCTGAGAACCACACGCTACGTCCAGTTGACCTCGGTGCCTGCGCTGCTGCGGGGCTATCGGAACTTCCGGTGCGTCGCAAGCCGAGCGTTGCCGTAATTCCCACGGGCAACGAGCTTGTGCAGGTGGGAAGCGACCTGAAGCCGGGTGATATTATCGAGTTCAACTCGTTGTGCTGGCGGGCATGGTCGAGGAGTGGGGCGGAGAAGCCACGACATTACAGGCCGTACCGGATGATTTCGACACGCTGCTAAACGAGGTTCGTGACGCGGCGCAGCAGCATGACATAGTCCTAGTCAACGCTGGGTCGTCGGCGGGAAGCGAGGACTATACTGCCCGTGTGATAGAGACTCTTGGCGAACTGGTGGTGCATGGTACGGCTATTCGACCAGGGCATCCTGTCGCGCTCGGAGTCGTGGATGGCAAGGCGGTGCTAGGTATCCCTGGCTATCCAGTGTCGGCGGCGCTGACAACCGAATTGTTCGTGAAGCCACTGATTGAGCGCAAGCTGGGCGTGCCTTCCGCCAATCGCAGCATTGTGAAGGCGAATATCACTCGCAAAACGCTGTCGCCGATGGGCGAGGACGAGTTTCTGCGCGTGCGATTGGGGCGCGTGGGCGAGAAACTTGTGGCAACGCCGGTAGAGCGAGGTGCGGGTGTGATTATGTCTCTCGTTCGCGCTGACGGCATAGTTAAGATTCCGCGCTTTTCTGAGGGGATGGACGCTGGGGCAGAGGTGGAAGTTGAATTGCTGCGGCCTGTCGAGGCTATCGAAGAGACGGTCGTTGCAATCGGAAGCCATGATATGACGCTCGACCTGCTCGCAAGCCATGTGCGGCGCGAACGCCCGAATATGACTCTTGCATCGTCGAATGTAGGCAGTATGGGCGGGCTGATAGCGCTGGCGCGCGGGGAGGCGCACATTGCAGGTTCGCACCTGCTGGATGAGGCGACCGGCGAATATAACCTTTCGTTTATCCGGCGCTTCCTAAGAGGCAGAAACGTCGTAGTGGTCAATCTTGTGCAGCGCATACAGGGGCTTATCCTGCCGAAGGGCAATCCGCAGGGCATTGAAATTCTGGACGATCTGACGCGTGACGGCATAGTGTTTCTCAATCGGCAGCGAGGCTCAGGGACGCGCCTGCTGCTTGACTACAAGTTGAACGAGTTGGGCATCGAACCCGATAGCATTCAAGGGTACGACCGCGAAGAGTACACGCACCTTGCCGTCGCCGCTGCTGTTGCGGGCGGTCGCGCTGATGTGGGCTTGGGCATCCTGTCTGCTGCTAACGCGATGGGGCTGGACTTTGTGCCTCTGCTGTCAGAGCAGTATGACCTTGTGATACCTTCAGAACACTATGAGAGCGAGAGAGTGCGGTTTGTACTGTCGCTCATTAGAAGTGACGCATTCAAGGCTGAAGTGAATGCCCTTGGTGGGTACGAAACCGCGACGATGGGGCATGTGGTGGCGGAGCTGGACTAGCATTGGACTGAAACTGATTAACAGGATGGACAGAATGACGGGATTGTCAGGCATAGTGCTGGCGGGCGGGCTGAGCCGAAGGCTGGGGCGTGACAAGGCGGTTGAACCTTTCGGTGACGAGCCGCTGATAGCGCGGGTTATTGGTCGTCTCAGCACCCTGACGAATGAGACTGTCGTTGTGGTCAACAACGAGGCGCGCGGCGCAGAGCTTCCGCTTCCTGATGAAGCGAGAGTCGCTGTGGACATCTATCCTGATTCAGGTTCTCTTGGCGGTATATTCAGCGGTCTCACGGTGGCAAACACGGATTGGGGCTTTGTAGTGGCGTGCGACATGCCCTTCCTCAACACAGACCTGATCTCTCACATGCTCACACTGCGTGAAGACTATGACGCCGTTGTGCCCCTGCTTGACGGATACCCGGAACCCACACACGCTGCCTACTCGAAGGCATGCTTGCCGCATATAGAGAGCCGGCTCGAGGCCGGTCAGTTGAAGATTGCGGGCTTCTTCGACGATGTGCGCGTCAGGTATGTATCTGAGAGTGAGATAGACAGCTTCGACGCTGAGCGCCTGAGCTTTTTCAATGTGAACAGGCCTGACGACCTTGAGCGGGCGCTTGCGCTCGTTGAAGAGGGCAAGTAGCAGCGCCGTGGGATCGACCGTATGCATCTCCATCGAGCTGTTCGGCACGGCGCGCATGGCCTGTGGACGTAAGCTGATAGAGACGAGAGTCCCGGCGCATGGAAGCATTAAGGACTTGGCGTTGGTTCTTGCGCGAATCTGCCCTGAACTGGTCGGTGTGGCCTTGCGCGACGACCTGAGCGGCTTGCTGGCGAGTTACACGCTCAATCTGAATGCCACTGAGTTCGTTGAAGGTGATGAATTAACGCTCAGAGACGGCGATACGCTCCTTCTTTTCTCCAGCCAGGCAGGTGGCTAATGCGGCACTTCCCCTGCATGGTACAATGTGCGCAAGTCGCAGGCTCAAACGCCAATCACGCGGCAACATTGTCGTAGGGTGTGAACATTTTGATTAACGGCCAGGAAGGGCTTTACGGCTACAATGGCAGGGCGCTAGTCGTTGACCTCACACGACAACAGAGTTACTGGCAGACGCTCGACGCGGATGTGCTGCGCCGATTCATTGGCGGTACGGGCCTTGGCACATATCTGCTGTACACGCATTGCCCTCCGGGAATAGATGCTTACGACCCTGCGAATCCGCTTATCTTCGTTACAAGCCCCCTTGTGGGAAGCAGGCTCACCACATCGAGCAAGTTCGCCGTGCTCACCAAGTCCCCGCTCACAGGCTTCATAGGCGACTCGTTGTCGTCCAGTTTCATGGCGACCGAGTTGAAGAAAACGGGCTGCGACGCGCTAATTGTTAGCGGCAGGAGCGAATCACCGTGCTTGCTGTCCATCGACGACGGTGAGGTGAAATTCCTCGATGCTCGCAGTTTCATGGGGATGACTACGCTCGACACTGAACGGGCGATCAAGCAGCAACTAGGGCATCGCACTCGCGTTGCCTGCATAGGGCCTGCCGGTGAGAACCTTGTTCGCTTCGCCAGCATCACGAACGATGGAGGGCGACAGGCTGCCCGCACGGGACCCGGGGCGGTGATGGGGTCAAAAAATCTCAAGGCAATCGCGGTTAGGGGCACTCATGCTGTTCCTGTCCGTGATCACGATGCATTGAATAGCATCGGCGCTGACCTTACTCGGCGCAGTCTCGGCCCAGCAACCGAGAAGTACAGGACGCTCGGCACCATGGCGAATGTGTCGGTGTTCAACAGCCTTGGCACACTACCTACTCGCAATTTTCAGCAGTCCACATTCGACGGAGCAGAAGGCGTGAGCGCGGAGAAATTCCACGAGTCGAATTTCGTGAAGAACGCCCACTGCGCAAACTGCACCATTGGCTGCGAGAAAATTCTGGTTACGAGCGATAAAGGCAAGAAGGCGCAAGGACGCATGGAGTACGAAAGCGCCTTTGCGTTGGGTCCGCTGGTTGGTGTTGCGGACGGCAATACCGTCATTCGAGCATCGACTCTCTGCGATGAGCTTGGCATGGATACTATCAGCGTGGGCGCGACTATCGCGTGGGCGATGGAGTGCTTCGAGCGGGGCATCCTGACCACCGAAGACACAGACGGCATTGACCTGCGCTTCGGCAGTGGAGATGAACTCCTCGAATGTGTGCGGCTCATCGCTGAACGCAAAGGTATCGGCGACTTGCTTGCGGAAGGCAGCAGAGGCGCGGCGCAGTTAATCGGGCAGGGGACGGATGCGTGGGCAATGCAAGTCAAAGGCTGGAGATGCCGGGCTACGAACCCCGCAGCCTGAAGACGATGGCGCTTGGCCTCGCGGTTAGCACCAGGGGGGCGTGCCACAATCGCTCTTCCGCCTACGAAGCGGATTTTTCGGCGCGGGTCGATAGACTCAAAGTCGATGAGGTGCGCGGGCGCATTACTGCTGAGGGCGAAGACTTCTCCGCAGTCTTGGACTCGCTGATATGGTGTAAGTTCCTGAGAAAGGCATTCGGCGACCTATACGAAGAGTCGGCTGAGATATACCGCCATATCACCGGATGGGATATGACCGCAGAGGAGCTTCAGTTGGCAGGCGAGCGCATCAACAACCTGAAGAAGCAGTTCAATATCCGAGAAGGCTGGTCGCGTGATGACGATACCCTGCCACCGCGAGTGTTTGACGAAGTGCTCCCTACGGGAGTTGTGGAAGGTGTTGGCTTGAGCAGGCAGGACCTGGATATGATGGTGCAGGCCTACTACCTAGCGCGTGGCTGGCGCGAGGATGGTACCATACCTGCCGCGAAGCTTAAGGAACTGGGGTTGGAGGATGTTGTGTTAGAAGCGGTCCCTTCGCTCTGAATATCGGTGCAATGAGAGGCTACGTTGAATAGAGACAGGAACGAATTAAGGGCCACTTTGCGGCAGAACTTTCCGCGCAATCGCGGCCAACTGCTGCCAGCGCTTCATTTCTTGCAGCACGAGTTTGGCTACCTGCCGGACTGGGCAATGGAGGTAGTGGGCTGGCATCTTGGCATACCTTCGAGCGAGGTGTACGGGGCTGCTACGAGTTACACCGAACTTCGCATACTCAAACCGGGCGATCACGTGATTCGAGTCTGCACGGGGCTGAGCTGCTGGCTCAATGGCGGCAGGGAACTTGTAAAGAAGGCGCACGCCGAACTCGGCACCGACGGTCTGCGGGACTCGGTTACACTGGAAGAGACGCCCTGCGCTTACATTTGCGGCGTCGCGCCAGCAGTTGAGATTGATGGAGTGTGGCGTGGCAGAGTCAACGCAGAGTCGTTCAGCGGCATCGTGCAGGAGGTGTCGTCTTGACGGACGCTGTATCTAGGGCTGTGGAGTCCACTTCGCAATTCTGCTACCGAAGGGCAAAGGGCGCGAACGGGCATGACCCGCATTGTGGTGCAGATGGGGCACTGCTCGCAGGCGGTTGGCGCGGACGATGTTGCGGATGCAGTGGCTCAAGCCATGCCCCAGGACGCCTATCTGGTAACAGCCGGCTGTGACGGCGCGTGTTTCGGCGCTCCCAAAGTATCCGTGATCCCTGCCGAGCGGGCATCTCAATGAGCAATGGAACATGACTGTCGAGAACGTGCGGAAAGGGTTCTCATTCATCAAGTCTGTTGATCCCATCTGACTCGGAGATTTCCGATCCGTCTGACTTCCTGAACAAGCAGACACCGCTTGACCCTTGCAGGATGCGGTATGTTAGACGCTCTTGGTATTGACGACTACATCCTGAGCGGAGGGTATAGCGGTCTGGCTCGCGCCCTGTCAATGCAGGCGGAGGATGTGATAGAGGATGTGCTGGCATCCGGGCTGCGCGGACGCGGCGGCGCTTACTTCCCGGCGGCGCTGAAATGGCGTGGAGCGCGGACGGTTATGAACACGCCGCGATACCTTGTAGTGAACTGCGAAGAGGGCGAGCCGGGTATCTTCAAGGATCGTCACATCATGGAGGGCGTGCCGCACCGCCTCATAGAAGGCGCAATCATCGCCGCCTACGCCTCTGACGTTCATGAAGCGTACATCTACATCAATGCCGAGGCGAACCTGTCCGCAGATCGAATGCAGATTGCCATTGAGCAGGCATACGCCAACGGACTTCTTGGCGATAGCGTCCTTTCTTCAGGCTACGCGCTCGAAATGCAGATTGTTCGTGGCGCGGGCGGCTACGTGTGCGGCGATGAGACGACGCTCCTTAACACGATGGAGGGGCAGCGCCGCGAGCCCCGTCAGCGTCCCCCATTCCCGACGGAAGCCGGGCTTTGGGGTCAGCCGACCGTCATCAATAACGCCGAAACCCTGTCGAGTGTGCCATATATACTCGCCAACGGAGCCGATGCCTTCGCCGCTATCGGCACTGAAGACGATAAGGGCACAAAGATAATCAGTCTGAGCGGTGCGGTTCTACATGGGGGACTGGTGGAAGTGCCGATGGGGACTACGCTGCGAGAGATTATCTACGACATGGGCGGCGGCACACCCGGCGATGCCGAACTGACAGCGATTGCTGTGGGAGGTCCTTCGAGCGGCATATTCCCTGTGTCCATGCTGGATACGCCCATAAAGCCGGGATTCATCCATGAGTCGGGCGTTATGCTCGGCGCGGGCGGCGTCATCGCGCTCGACGACAGCGTGAGTATTGTGGATATGATGCGCAAGCTCGCGGCGTACAATGCAAACGAATCGTGCGGCAAATGCACTCCTTGCCGAGAAGGGACGCCGCGCATGGTGGAGCTGGTTGACAACTTAATATCAGGACAGGCGTCGGTTAGCGATCTTGACGAACTGCGGCAGCTCGCCGAACTAGTGAACGCCGCTTCTCTTTGCGGACTAGGACAGGCAGCTGGGAACCCTGTGCTTAGCGTGCTGCACTTCTTTGGCGATGAGCTGGCGATGATGGCAAATCGTTCATAGGGAGAGTGCACCAGGTTGGGACGCTGCAGTTATCATGCTACCGGAATATTTGAAAGGCACGTAATGGGCATCACACTCAGTATCAACGGTCACCCGCTTGAGGTCAGCGAGGGCGCTACTGTGCTGGACGCTATCAACCAGTCCGGCACTTACATCTCGCAGCTCTGCAAAGACCCGGACATGAAGCCGATCGGCGCTTGCCGCACTTGCCTCGTGCAGATTGAAGGTACGCGCGGCTATCCGGCTTCCTGCGCCGTTCCGGTGACGGAGGGAATGAGCGTGTGGACGGATACGCCGGAAGTTCAGGCAATGCGCAAGGGTGTGCTTGAACTTACGCTTGCGATGTTTCCTTCCAATGGCGCTGCCGGAAGCAAGGACTACAAGGAGCTTTCAATTGCGGCGGACAGACACGGCATCACGGATTCGCGATGGCAAGGCAGGGAGCGCGAAGCTGTTGACAGCAGCAATCCGGTATTCAATATTGCGATGGAGAGCTGCATTCTGTGCCAACGCTGCGTTCAGGCTTGCCAGGACGGGCACCAGTTTATAGGCGCTATTGACCTACTCGGCACCAGCACGCAGGGGAGGATTGGCACATTCGCGGAGCGCCCGCTTTTGGAGTCCGTCTGCACAACTTGCGGTCAGTGCCTCTCCGTGTGTCCGACCGGGGCCATCGAGGTCAAGACGCCCCCCCTCAAGGTAGCCAAGGAGGTAACGACTACCTGCCCATATTGTGGCGTTGGCTGCGGTATCAAGGCGCAGGTTGACGACACCGACCGAATCGTGGCGATGCTGGACGACCCGGACAACCAATCGAGCATCGGAATGCTTTGCGTAAAAGGCCGCTTCGGTTACTCATTCGTGAACCACGAGGACAGGCTGACCACACCGCTGATTCGCAAGGACGGTATTCTGACTGAAGCTAGTTGGGATGAGGCATTGGAATATGCCGCCGTCAATCTTGCCAGGTATCGAGGTGATGAGTTTGCCACACTCTGCTCGGCTAAAGCGACCAACGAAGACGGTTACATACAGCAGAAATTCTCGCGGCTGGTGATGCAGAGCAATCACATTGACCACTGCACGCGCCTCTGCCACTCGCCATCGGTTGAAGCAATGCTGACTTCACTCGGCAGCGGTGCCACCAGCAATTCTTACCAGGACTATGAGGAAGCGGGCTGTCTTGTCATTATCGGGTCGGACGCCAACTCCAACCATCCAGTCGCGGCATCGCGCATGAGGCGCGCCGTCATCGAGCGCGGTGCGAAGCTAATCGTCATCAATCCGCGCCGGATAGAGATGTGCGACTTTGCGGAGTTGTGGCTGAGGCCGCGTCCGGGCACCGATGTCGCGCTGCTGAACGCAATGGCAAAGGTCATTCTGGACGAAGATCTCGTTGACTGGGATTTCGTGAGCGGCCGCACCGAGGATTTCGAGGAGTGGCGCGAGCTCATCGACAATTACACTCTCGACTATGCAGAAAGCATCACAGGCGTGGCTGCGGAAGACATCGCACAGGCGGCGCGAATATACGCGAAGCCTCCGTTCAGCGGTTCCTGCCTGATATGGGGTATGGGCATCACGCAGCACATGATGGGCACAGCGAACGCGCACAGCCTGCTGAACCTGTCGTTCGTTGCAGGACAACTAGGCAAGCCAGGCTCCGGCATATCGCCTCTGCGTGGACAGAACAATGTGCAGGCTGCGGAGACGCGGGCTGCCTGCCCAATGCTTTTCCCGGCTACCAGATAATTTCCGAAGATACCGTCGCCAAGTTCCAGCGGATATGGGGCAATCACCCCTTGCCGCCGGTAGAGGGGCTTGTCATCACCGAAATGATGGGGCGCTATGGATGTCGGACGCATAAAGGCGATGTATGTTACCGGCGAGAACCCGCTGCTCAGCGAACCCAACCTTCATCACGCCGAAGAGACATTCGACAAATTGGAGTTTCTAGTTGTGCAGGATATATTCTTGCACGAGACGGCTCAGATTGCTGACGTGGTTCTGCCAGCCACTTCCTTTGCAGAGAAGGACGGCACATTCACGAACAGCGAAAGGCGGGTGCAGCGCGTCCGCAAGGCAGTCGAACCGATAGGCGAAAGCCGACCTGACTGGGATATTCTCTGCGAATTGGCGCAGCGCTTGAGTCGCAATCTCGGGCTTGGCGTAGAGGACCAGTTCGCCTACTCTCATCCGTCCGAGATTTGGCAGGAGATGGCGGACAGTACGCCCATCATCGCGGGCATCTCATACGATAGGCTTGAGAATGAGGGCGGGATACAGTGGCCCTGCCCGACGCCCGACCATCCAGGCACGAGATTCCTTTACGAAAGCGACTTCCCACGTGGGATCAAGAGCGAAATTTGTGGCGTTCCATCAAGGTCCCGCGGCGGAAGAGATGCCGAGTAAACGCTTCCCGCTAATCTTGAACACCGGTCGCATCCTCTATCATTGGCACGGCGGAACGATGACGCGAAGGGCGTCCAATCTGCTCGCGCGTGCTCCCGAGCTGCAGATCAACATCAGCGCAGAGGACGGCGAAACGTATGGCGTTGCTGACGGCGAGTGGATAAGCCTGAAGTCCAGGCGTGGGGTGTTAGAGGGCAGGGTGCTCTACACCGAAAAAATGCGGGCAGGGGAGGTGTTCGTGCCTTTCGTCAAGCTGCAAGAGCACGCTGCGAATTTCCTGACCAGCGACGCTCTCGACCCGTTCTCAGGCATACCGGAGTACAAAGTCTGTGCAGTCCGCATTGAGAAGGTAGGAGAGCCAGTTCACTCAGCGGATTGAGGCACGTAAATCCAGCCTTCAAGCCTCGCTGCCGATAGTTCATCGGTGTTGGGATGCCGAAAGCGCTCCGGGTTCCTTGCCCAACACGCCGCCGTTACCGCCGCGACTACGGCATCAAGGCAGTCGTCGTTGGCAAGGCAATCGTCGCGTAGTTCGGACAGATTAGGCAGGGCGACGCCTGACTTAGAGGATAGGTCGTCGAGGATGCGGTTTCGGCGCTCGTCTCGAAGTTGAAGCGATTTTGGCTTCTTGTATCCCTTGTAGATGGTGCCGATAGCCTTCAGAAAGGCGCCCGGCATCGTTTCCAGAAGTGTAACCCCTAGTCGCTGATGCATCGCTCGACGCCTGCAATGGGGGCACAACCAGCGCTCTCGCTTGGCTTTGCTGAGTTCGTGCATCATCTGCATGCCGTAATAGGTCATCGGAATCATGTTGGGATTGACCTTGTGCAGGGCGAGAAACTTTCCGAGAAGTGAGTTGCATCTCCCGCTCGCTTTGGTTCGCCGAATCGGTCCACAAATGCGTCTCGCGCTGCGTTGAAGTCTCCCAGTCTCAAGTCTGACACTATGCGCCACGCTTCAGGCAGGGATCTGAGGCCCTTGCTTGTGTTCAGGAAGTCCGCAAATTCGAGTGGCACACCGAAAGGGAAGTCGATGCCTGCCACCGCAGGGGTTGATGTGGTCGCCAATAGTTCGGTCACATCATTACGGCGTCTCATCTGCGCGCTGTCGAATACGAGCGCACCATCCGATGTCAGGCGTCCCTGTGCAACCCACGTGTTGTGGTCACTCTTCGCGCCGCTGTAGTCGATACCGATGATGGTGGTCATAGTCGCCTCTGCCTGTACATGGTTTCGGAATGTGGTTGCGGAATCTGGGCTGCCGAATTGTAGCACCTGCACCCTCATAGTGCACCGAATGTTCTGGCGAGTCTGGTATCATGGCGCTGTTACATCAACTCACGAGGGAAGCCCCATGACGACACCGCTAAGCCAGATGCCCAAGCCTGAAGCAGGACAGTACGCAGGAAAGCGTAAGCTCTTTCTGGTGCCCATATTCCTGTTTCCGCCAGACCTACCCGACGACGCTTCGCTGCTGCTGGAACGCTACTGGTCGGAGGTGCGCGACCATATCCAGAACCTCGAACGCTCGCTTGGCAGCGTAACGCATGTGTTTCACGAGACAATCTACGCCCCTGGAGAGGAAGGAATGAGGATGGCGGAGGCGATGAATCCGTTCGGCTGCTCATTCATTCAGGCGCTATGCAGCGCAGGCGCTTCTTTGCAAGCCACGGAGGACAGGGCAGTAGTGGAAGAACACAGTGACTGGCAGCGCTGCCTATCCATTGGCCTGATGAGCGAAAAGGTAATGACCCTCGCTATAAATGGTATTCAGGAGACGACCCAGCAGCGCTTCACGCATATCGGGGAGCAGATTTCCAATACACTGAAGGATGGAGAGGCCGGTATCCTGTTCATAAGCGAAGGACACCGCGTGCAGTTCCCAGCCGATATGCAAGTGTTTTTCGTTGCTCCGCCCGCTCTTGATACGCTAAGGCGTTGGTTAGACGACCAGATGCGCTCCGCTACTTTATCCCGGCAGCAGGGTGCGCAGCAATGAGCATGAAATGGAGAAGCCGATGCTTCAACATGTCTGAGCAGCATCGGTGGAAGGCGAAATCCAGCAATAAAATCTTCGTGGCGAATAGAAGGCCCGTGCACTTCGAGTATCCTGGGAATTGGATAATCGTACCTGAGGGCGGCTTCATCTGCATCTATGATGGCAAGGAGCCTGACGACAACATTCGCCTGCAAGTCTCTGTGACTCAGATATGTCCCGCTGGCTCAATCGTCAATTGGAGCAAGTTGCCTTCGCTCGATTCACAGATGGAACACTCAGTGATAGGCGATGACAGGCGGCATCGCACGCGGCGAGGCCCCACGCTGACGGCTCGGCGGCGCGACTTAGAGTATGTGTGGCTTGGAATCGACTTTGTAGATCCGACTGAAAAGCGTAAGGCTCACTCTAGGGCGTGCCTCGCCCGCGGCCGGAATGTGCAGACGCTCATTACGATGGAGTTCTGACCAGAAGACCATACCCTCGCCAACAATTTCTGGAACGATGTGCTGCAATCGCTGAAGCTCGGCGAATATGTGGAGAATCCGTTCCGTGGTCCCATGAATAATCGACAAGGAGCAGAATAGCAATGACAACCAACGGCAATACCCTTCGCAGCCGCGAGTGGTTCGATACGCCCGAATTGTACGGCTGGCTTCGACAGGCGGCGTTCAAGGCGGAGGGGGTTTGGCGAGCCTGCGTATCAGAATAAGCCAATCATCGGCATTTGCAATACTTGGAGCGAACTGACGCACTGCAACGCTCATCTGCGCCAACTTGCTGAGGCTGTGAAGCGTGGTGTATGGCAGGCCGGCGGCTTTCCAATGGAGTTTCCCGTCATGTCGCTGGGTGAGTACAACATGCGCCCCACGACGATGCTCTTCCGCAACCTCATGAGCATGGATGTAGAGGAATCCATCAGGGCGAATCCGCTTGACGGGGTCGTGCTGCTGGGCGGCTGCGACAAGACAACGCCCGCACTGCTAATGGGTGCCGCAAGCGCGGACATTCCTGCCATTCTGGTCACCGGTGGACCGCAGCTCAAGGGCAATTGGCGGGGTGAGGAGCTAGGTTCCTGCACGGACTGCCGCCGATACCACACGGAGTTGCGAGCGGGTAGCATCACAGAGGAACAGTGGGCAGAGCTACAAAATTCGATCGTTCGCAGCCCGGGCCACTGCATGGTCATGGGCACCGCCTCAACAATGGCGTCTATGGGAGAGTCGCTCGGTATCGCGCTGCCCGGCAACGCCGCTATACCTGCAGTCGATTCGCGGCGTGCCCAACTAGCGGAGGCGTCCGGCAGGCAGATAATGGCGGCGGTAGAGCAGGACCTGCGACCATCAAAGATTATGACGCAAGAGGCTTTCGAAAATGCCATTCGCACACTGCACGCGCTGGGCGGCTCTACCAACGCAATCATACACCTGACTGCGATCGCCGGACGGCTTGGCATAGAACTGCCGCTCACTCTGTTCGATGAATTGTCACGCACTACGCCGTTTATTCTGAACCTGAAGCCGTCGGGCGAATTCCTGATGGAAGACTTTTTCTACGCCGGAGGCCTACCTGCTCTGCTGAGCGAGTTGCGCCCGCTGCTGCATATGGATGCGATGACGGTTACGGGCAGAACGCTCGGCGAAAATGTGTCAGGCACGATCAACCACAATCCGGACCTGATTCGCAGTCTGGACGAACCGCTGAACTCTGAGGGCGGGCTTGCGGTGGTCTATGGCTCTCTTGCGCCAAGCGGCGCCGTTATCAAGCCGACTGCAGCGTCTCCCGACCTACTGACGCATCGTGGCCGGGCGCTCGTCTTCGACGACCATGACGATATGGAACACCGCATTGATGTCCCGGACCTTGATGTTAATCCTGAGGACGTGCTTGTGATGCGCAACGCTGGGCCGCAGGGCGGCCCTGGCATGCCCGAATGGGGATTCCTGCCGCTGCCCAAAAAGCTGCTGCAGCGCGGAATACGCGACATGGTGCGCCTCAGCGACGCGCGCATGAGTGGCACCGCATTCGGCACCGTGGTAGTGCATGTTACGCCCGAATCAGCGTCTGGCAGTCCGCTCGCCGCAGTGCGGGACGGTGACATCATCGAGTTGGATGTTGCCAACCGCAGGCTAGATCTGATGGTGGACGAAAGGGAAGTGCAGCGCAGGCTCGCAGAGGTCCCGCCGCAGAAGCCGCATTTCACCAGGGGCTACGGCGCGATGTATTCGCAGCATGTGATGCAGGCCGACAAAGGATGCGACTTCGACTTTCTGCGTGCGGAGGAGCTAGGATGAGTGAAGAATTCGAAAGAGTACGAGACGCAATGCCTGACAGGTTCGCAAGCAGAGCAGAAGTTGCGGAGTTTGGGACACGCATGACATTACAGACTATCTGGATGTGCTTGAGCCCGTTGATCTGAAGTTTTCAGATGGTCTTGCTCATGATGTCTTAATTCGCTTTGCCTCTCATACTTTCTGGAAAGTCTGTAGAATCGCGAGTGAGCGTGGCAAACTCCGATAGCGCTGATACACCAGTGGGTTGTCGAGCAACTAACAGGGTAAGCTCTTCCGACAAACCCATGAGTAGTGGTAGCGTTTCACTTCGCTGCCGATGAGTTTCGCGTTGGATGATGTTCGCTAACAGATCGAAGTAGTCAGGCTAGTCTCCCTGGTGTATCTGCACCTTCACTGAGCCGGTCGTCTTATCATATGCGGTTGTGAAGCCCTGCTGGATGTCGTCCAGGGAGTAGATGTGCGTCACCATCGGCTTCAGGTCAACCCTGCCGGACGCCATCAGGTCTATTGCGACTTCATAATCGTGCCTGCCGTTGATGATGCCGTAGCACGATGAGAAGACGATCGTCTGCTCTTTCAGCATCGGTGGCAGCCAGTCAACAGTGATTGGGGCGCGGTACCCCCCGATGACCACGAAACGCCCCTGTTCTCGCGTCAGATCAATTGCCTGAACGATCGGCTCCGGCCTCCAGCCGCCCACCGTCTCCACGGTGAGATCGGCGCCAAGCCCTTGCGTGGCGTCGAGAACCGCGTCGTTGAGTGCAGGGTCGTCGGGTGCGAATGCGTGATCGGCGCCCAACTGCTTGGCAAGCGTCGCCTGCTGTTCGTGGCGCGCGGTGACGAATATCGTTCCTGCGCCGAGAGCACGGGCCGCTGCCACCGCCGTCAGTCCGATATGCCCGCGCCGAGCACGACGACGGTCTCGCCGCCGATAAGTTGACCACGCCGAACGCCATGCACGGACACGGCGAAAGGCTCGACAAGCGCGGCCTCATCCCACGTCATATCGTCAGGCAGCGCGTAGCATCCCCAAGCCTTGCGCTTGATATACTCGGCGAAACCGCCCCCTTCCGGCGGAGCCTTGTCCAAGCACTGCTTATACTGACCCATGCGGCAGTACCAGCAACTCAGGCAGGCGCGCCCGTGTCCGATGGTCTCGATTGCAACTCGCGTGCCGACCATACTGGAATCGATACCTTCGCCCACGGCAATGACTTCTCCCGCGACTTCGTGTCCGACCGGTGATTCGTCGGCTTCCTTCTGGTCCGCCTTCATCTGCAGGTCGGAACCGCAAATGCCAGAGGAGCGTATCCGCACTATGGCGTCCCCGGGACCCCGCTTCTGGCTGCGGGTACTCACCGAGGGTCATCGTGCCGTTGCCGTCGTAGAATGCCGCTTTCATCATTGCCATATCGCACTCTCCTATGCTTTATGTTCAGGGGGAATCCTGCGGGCGCTGCCTACCGCGAGGCCGACAAAGTCTGACGTACTACGCGTTCGCCGCAAGGAACTCGCGCGAGCCGTTCAGTATGAGGTCATTAAGCGCGATCGCCGTGTGAATGTCGGACGATATGTGCCTACCGGCGGCGTGGATGCGCTCGCCTACCGCGTTCTGTGCCGCCTGCACGACGGGGTGCTCCGGCTTACCCGGATAGCCCATTGATTGGGCCAGGTCGTTGGTGCCCCACGCAAAGGCGTCGATGCCTTCAACCTCAAGGATCGCGTCGAGATTCTCGAACGCGGTTGCCGATTCGAGCTGTGCCATAACTAGCATCTCTTTGTTCGTCAATTCCATGAACTCGCTACGGTCGAGTCCCGGCTGGTCTATCAGGCCGCTGTCATTGTAAAAAGTGCCTCTTCCGCCGCCCCAGCTGCGTTCGCCTTCCGGTGTGAAGAGGCAGGCATCCACGAGGGCCTTGGCTTCATCAGCATTCTCCACATGCGGGCCCATTACTCCCATCACGCCTCTGTCGAGGTAAAGATTGATGAAATTCGCCGACTTTTCTGGCACGCGCATGATTGTTGTCAATCCGTAACCGTCTGCAACACGCACCATAGCGTCAACGGATTCCTGCGTAAAAAGGCCGTGCTCGGCGTCCAAATTCACAAAGTCGAAGCTGCCCAGCATTCCGACGAGTTCAATTGCTTCTGCACAGGGATAGACAAGGCTTAGGCCGAGTCCCTTTTTGCCTTCTATATTCTTCGCAAATATGTTGTTCTCTCTGATTCGTACCACGCTACTGCCTCCTTTGGCATCTGTTTTGTTATGTGTTAGTCAAATTTTAGATTCAGGAAAGGCCAAGCTAGTCGATCACGCTGATGCGGGCGCGGGCGGGAGCGTATCCCGTATCCAATCGGCTAGGTCTGTGAGCGTCTGTTGGCTGATCTCGTGCGCCATTGGGTATTCGTGATAAACGGGACCGTATCCCTCCGCTTCCAGAAACTCCTTTGCATCGCGAGCAGATTGCACCGCAACCATCATATCACCAGTACCATGCGCCACGAAGATAGGCTGTGAGCGGTCCTCGGGCAGGCTATCTCTCATCGTGTCCGCGTCAGGCACGACGGCACTCAACACGGCCAATCCCTTGAACAATTCAGGGTTTGGCAGACCGTAGCTGTAAGTCATCATCCCGCCCTGCGAGAAGCCGCCAAGAATGACCTGGCCCGATTCCGTACTGTACTGCTCTGCAACTTCAGCGATAAGCACGGCAAGCATGTCCACTGCGTTCTTCAAGTCATCTGGGCTGCGTAGATCGCGGGGTGGAGTCCAGCCGAAGCCCGTCATTCCCGGCCCAATCTGGAACGGGATAGGCGCGTTGGGGAATATATACACATACCCTTCAGAGTCGATGGCCGGAGCAAGGCTCGATAGATCACCCATGTGCGCACCGAAGCCGTGCAGCAGGATTATCATCGGATATTTTCGAGCCGGATCGTAGCCGTCCGGTCTACGGCGATGTATTGGAGAGTCTTGCCCTGAATCTGTTTGGCTTGCAAATTAACCCTCCTCGCCGTCATACGTGGGTCGCACGAGCTCATACACGTCGTGGGTGGTACAGTACATGTTGCCCGCGAGCCTGCCTACTGGCTTTAGGCGTTGGTGATTGATGCGGTGGCCATTGATGATGTCGTCGCGGATGTGCATCAGCACAATCTCGCCGATAACAATGGCGTGCTTCGTCCCGTCTCCAACTGCTACCACCTGGTTGAGGCGGCACTCCATGTTCACGGGCGACTCCGCAACCCGGGGAGCGCGAACCAATTCGGATGGCGCCGCCGTCAGCCCTCCCACCTCGAACTCATCCACATCGGTGGGAAACTCGGCGGCTGTGCTGTTCATCGCTTCCGCGATGTCGTCCACAACCACATTCACAACGAACTCGCCTGTCGCTTCAATGTTAGCGAGCGTGTCTTTTTCCTTCCATCCGGCGCTGCGCGATATCCCAAGCACGATAGTCGCCGGGTCGTAAGCCATTGCGTTGAAGAACGAGAAAAGGCGCAAGATTGACAATGCCATCGTGGATACACTGGATACGAATGCAATGGGACGCGGCACTATCACACCGGTCAGCACACGGTTGAAGCCCTCGAAAGTTTTTGGGTCTATTCGCAACTACACTCTCCCTAATTCCGAATCGGCCAAGCCACACGCGACCGTAGCTTACAAAGATCTCACATTGCTCTTCGCGACTCAAAGTTCCCTTGCTGTTGAATCGGTCAAAGGGTAATACTGGCAGGCGCCAATAGCAAGTGACAACCCGCAAGTGCGTTGACTTGCATGCCTGCGCGAACATAAACTAGAACACGATGCCTACAATTTGCGCCCTGCCCAACTCGAGCGGCGCGCATTCCTGACACTCACACTTGAAGAGGTTCTTAATGAGCAGACTTATCGACCTATTGGACAAGACGCAATCGACCTCGCCCGGAATTGGCTTTGCGGCGTCACGGCAGGCGGCCGCTGCACCTGCCATCGCGCTAATTGGGCGTGTCACAGCCGTCGAACTATCGGAAAATTCCGATCTCGCCGATTCCCTAGCAGACGCCTTGTTGGTAACACTCGACGCGTCAGACACCGCCGCCGTTCAGCGCGTATCCAATTCGCTAGGTGACAGGCTATGGGGAGCGAGAGTGGGCAGCGTAAGCGCGGATGACGCCATTGCCTTGAAGGATGCAAGATGCGACTTCATAGTCTTCGACGCAGAGGGCACTGCCGCTGCGGTTCTCAACGATGACGAGCTTGGCAAGATAATCGCAGTGGGTTTCGACGATCCTGAGTTCGATGAGGATGAGGCAAAGGCAATCCGTACTCTGGATATTGACTGCGCCTTGCTGACGCCGCCCGACTCTCTTCTTCCCCTGACTGTGCAGAAGTTGCTGGGTGTCCAAAAGATGCGCGCCACCGTCAGGAAGCGATCCATACTGACCACTCCCTCAGAGATTGGCAAGGGCGAATTAGAGACGCTGCGTAACGCAGGTGTCGTTAGCATTGCCGTGAGCCTCTCCGACGCAGAGGACGCCTTTCAGCGCATCAAAGACGACATAGCAAGCCTACCCCGCCGCAGGTCGCAGAGTAGTAGGCGAGGGTCGTCAACGCCGAGTGTGGGTTTTGGGAGTGGATCGTCGTCGGTCGATGATGACGACTACGAGGACGACTAAGTCTTGGCCATCAGCAGCCGCCCGCGCTATCTGCCAACTGCCAGCCTGTCAATCAGGTAGTCGGGCAGTTGACGCTCGCGCATCGTCGCCTGCGTTGCCTCAATGTCGTAGGCGACTCGGTGGTGCACGAGCGTCTGGGCCGCATCGTCATAGATGACATAGCTCGCCCTTGGGTCGCCATCTCGCGGCTGACCGACCGAGCCAGGGTTGACTATGAGCGCGCCTTCATCCAGTTGAATAGCTCTGTCCTGCGGAAATCCCATGAACGCCGCGCCGTCCGCTCTCGGTATGCACAGGAAGGGCATGTGCGAGTGCCCGACGATACACCAGTAGGTGTCGATATGCGTGAAGCAGGCGATGGCGGTCTCCACCGTAATTAGGTACTCCCAGACGGGATCGCGTGGGCTGCCGTGCGCCAGTGTGAACTCGTCAATTTCAACCGTTAACGGCAGGCTGCCGATATACTCCACCTGCTCGTGAGTGAGCTGCGATGCTGTCCAGCGATTCGCAGCCGCTGCATATGGGTTGAAGCGATCAAGCGACAGTCTGCCAATCGCAGCGAGGTCATGATTGCCTGCGACCGCATTGTGCTTGTGAGAGCGAAGCAGTTCCACGCACTCAGACGGCTCAGGTCCGTAGCCGACGAGGTCTCCCAGCGACCATATCTCATCGAAACTGCCGCGATTCTCAGCGTCCACTATCACCGCCTGGAACGCTTCAAGGTTGCTGTGAACGTCCGATACTATCAGCGCCTTCATTCCGCCTATCCTGCGTACCGCTGCGCATTCCAATGCGCCGCGCTATCTCTTACCAGCCTACGTAGGATTCTGGTATCCTGTCTTGGGCGACTTGCGCGTCGTGTTCCTCGCGCAGAGCCTCTTTCAGAATTGCATGATACACCGCTAAACAGCCATTGGAAGCCTAGACTTACACGCTGTGGATTCTAAACGCGAGCATAGCATAACAATTGCATCGCACTGCCCTGAGCAGACCCAGTCTATCGGACGGCTGCTGGGGGAATGTGCCCTCGCCGGCGACGTGTTTCTCCTTTCCGGTGAGCTTGGCGCGGGCAAGACCTGCCTGACGCAGGGCATCCTTTGGGGGCTTGGCGGCGATGAGTACGCCCGCAGCCCGACTTTCGTGCTGATATGTGAGTATCCCGCGCGTCTCACGCTCTACCATATGGACTTGTACAGGCTCGACAGCCTTGACGAGATCATCGACCTCGGCCTCGACGACTACTTCTTTGGCGAAGGCGTGTGCGTCGTGGAGTGGGCGGAAAAAGGTCTTGATGCATTCGACGGAGAGCATATCCGCGTTTCTATTGAGCACGCGGGCGGCGAGAGTCGCACGTTAATGTTCAGCTCCAATTCGACTCGATACTCCAATATGCTGAGCGCTCTTAGAGAAATGGTCTTGGCGTGCGGGAGCATGTCCGAGTTCGAATTACCGAATGGCGAGGCGCAATAGTGGAACTCGCCATTGACACATCCACGCGCTTTGCCTCGATTGGATTGTCGAGAGAGGGCGAATCAGTGATCGAGCTGACATGGCGCTCCGACCGCAACCACTCCGTCGAGCTTGTGCCGAATGTCAGGCGGCTACTGAAGCGAGTTGGCATTGGCGTAGCCGATCTTGAAGCGATATACATCGCAGCAGGACCCGGCGGATTCAGCGCGCTGCGGGTGGGCATGAGCGCCGCGAAGGCGATGGCGGTGTCGCTTGACATTCCTCTTGTCGCGGTCGGCACATTGGACATCGAAGCCCAGCCCTATCTTGGGCTTGGCAGTCCCGTATGCGCTCTAATCGGCGCGGGCAGGCGGCGAGTGTATTTGGGAGACTTCAGTGATGCCGTGCATCCGACTTATAACGTGGTAGAGCACAACGAGCTGCTGTCGGTGGTGTCGTCCGATGCGCTGTTTTGTGGCGAGGGTGTGTCACAAGTCGCGGACCTGATACGCGGCAGTTTGGGCGCAGAGGTGAAAATTGCGGATGTCGTGCCGCCGACACGGCGCGCTGGCGTTATGGCGTGGATTGGTTACAGGATGCTGCGGGAAGGGCGCACCGCAGACGCTATGTCCCTTGAGCCACTTTATCTGCGGAGCTCGCAGGTGAATACAGCGAACAGAACATGGCGAAACAGATGAGACAGGAGTGATTGGCACTGATGCAAAGAACCTTGGTACTGATAAAACCTGATGCCGTGCAGCGTGGGCTGAGCGGCGAGATTATCGCACGACTGGAGCGGCGCGGGCTGAAGCTTGTCGGAATGAAGATGCTTCATGTCACACGCGAACTCGCGCACAGGCACTATGGCGCGCATGTGGACAAGCCGTTCTTCGAGGGACTGGTTCAGTTCATCACATCGTCTCCGCTAATTGCGATAGCGGTTGAAGGGGAGAGCGCCGTGGATGTGGTGCGACAACGATGGGCGCGACCAACCCTGTGGAAGCAACGCCCGGCACAATACGTGGCGACTTCGGCCTGACTATCGGAATGAACCTGATACACGGCTCGGACTCGCCGGAGTCAGCAGAGACAGAGTTGGCGTTGTTCTTTACGAGGGCGAAATAATCACTACGAGCGCGGCATAGACGACTGGATTATAGAATCCTGACCAATTCGGTAGCCTCGGCCCAGGCGGATTCGAGGTTGTAGAACTGCCGCTCCTCGGCGCCGAAAACGTGGATGACCACATCTCCAAAGTCAAGCAGCATCCAGCCGGATTCAGGGGTGCCCTCGCGGTGATGGCGCACACCGCCCTTCTCTTCAAGCGCGTGCTCAAGGTCTTCTACGAGCGCGCGCATCTGCCGCGTTGATTCGACCGTGATGATCACGAAGTAGTCGGCGAAGTCGCTCACCTCTCCGATGTCCAGCATTACGATGTCCGACGCAAGCTTGTCGGACGCAACATCGGCGGCGTAGCGCTGCATATTCCAGTGGAAGCAGTGTAGTCTGTTGTGTCATGGTCATATTATAGATTTGCCTCGTGAGTAAGGTCAACGAGATAGTTTCGCACCGTGGCCTCATTCTACCGAACTCACATATTGCAATGTAGGCTTTCTTCGTTCAGAAAATGCAAGGATAGGTGCGAATCCGTTGAACCGCCCAACCCCGTATGTTACGCTCATTCTATGAATACCAAGCGTGTCGTAGTTGCAATGAGCGGGGGAGTGGACTCCTCCGTTGCCGCGTTGCTATTGAAGCAGGAGGGTTACGATGTCGTGGGCGTGACGATGCGCCTGTGGTCGGTGGAGGACGAGGCCGCCGCGCCGCTGAACAAGCGCTGCTGCTCGGTCGAGGATGTGCAGGACGCCGCGGTGTGTGTGACGCCATCGGCGCAGCGCCACTACTACATAAACTTCGAGCGCGAGTTCCAGCAGCACGTCATCGATTACTTCGTGCGCGAGTATGATCGCGGACGGACCCCTCATCCCTGCCTCGCCTGCAACGACAAGATTAAGTTCGACTTCCTGCTGCGCCGCGCCATGTTCATGGACGCCGACTACATCGCAACAGGACACTACGCGCGCATACGGCGGACAGTGAGCGCACACACCTGCTCAAAGGCACAGACGCAAGTAAGGACCAGTCGTATGTGCTGTTCACGCTGCGCCAGTCCGAGCTTCAGCGGCTGTTGCTTCCTGTCGGCGAGTACCCTAAGAGCGACATTCGCCGTATCGCTGCCGACGCAGGTCTGCCCGTCGCCGACAAGCCGGACAGCCAGGAGATCTGCTTCATCCCGGACGGGGACTATCGCAAGTTCGTGGGCGAGCGTGTGATGCCCAAGCCGGGCGATCTGGTTGACACCGAGGGCAAAGTGCTTGGCAGGCATCCGGGCATACAGTTCTTCACCATCGGGCAGCGCAAGGGCTTGGGCTTGCAGGGCAACACCGGCTCTCCAATGTACGTTACATCCATAGACGCCGATGCCAACCGTGTGGTACTTGGCAGAAATGAAGACCTGATGCGCCGCGAACTCTGGGCGTCGCGCCTGAACTATATCTCAGGCGAGCCGCCTGATACGCCAATTGAGATAACTGCGAAGATACGATATAAGGCGAACGAAGAGCCTGCAACACTGACGCCGCACGGCGACTGGGCAGAATTGCGCTTCCACGAGCCGCAGCGAGCCGTTACGCCGGGTCAGGCCGTCACCTTCTATCAGGGCGAGGAAATCATCGGCGGCGGCATTATCGAACTCGAAGCTCCGATTCCGGCAGAAGTAATTGCGGCGAGGTGATATATGGACTTCAAAGACATCCTGAAATCTCAAATGTCCGAATACTCGGAATCTCTTGCGAATGCACTCGAGGGGTTGACGCCTGAAGAGAGGCGCTTCCAGCCCACGCCGGAATCGAATCACATAGACTTCATCGTCTGGCACATGGCGCGCGTCGAAGATACCCTGCTTAACCGAGCCATCTGCGCAGACCGAGCTTTGGGAGCGCGATGGCTGGGGTGAGAGGCTTGGCATAGCCGAGAACCGAAACGGCTATCGATTCACCGCAGAGCAGGCGGCAAACCTCCCAGAGTTCTCACTTGACGATCTGATGGATTACTACCGCTCGGTGCGCGTTGAGCTTTTCGAGTTCATCGACTCGATGTCGGAAGATGACCTTGCCAACCTCCCAAATCCCAGGCGACCGGAATTCCCAGTTGGCGATACGCTCAAGCACATTATCGTCGAGGAATCCCAGCATGTAGGGCAGATAGCCTACATTCGCGGCATGCAGCGCGGCATTGAAGGCTAAGCGCAAGGTCGCTTCCCGTATGCCTCTCCAATTTGCGCCAACCTACGCCGAGGAAGCCGCTCTGATTGAATCTGGCTATACGCTTATCGCAGGCGTGGACGAAGTTGGGCGCGGTACACTTGCAGGTCCGGTTGTTGCCGGTGCAGCGATTTTGCCCCTGCGCCCTAAGGGGGATTGGCTCTCCGGCGTCAGAGATAGCAAGATGTTGACCCCTCATCAGCGCGAAGCATCGGTCTATACGATGGAGGTGGCTTCCGTAACGATGTGCACAGGTCGCCGCCACGTCGCGGGAAATCGACGCAGTTGGCATTGTAGAGGCCACCCGCGTCGCCATGGCAAGAGCGATCGACGCGCTTCCAATCCGCCCCCAATACCTGCTCCTTGACGCTCTGTTGCTTCCCGACGTGGGTCTGCCTCAGCGCGCAATCGTGAAGGGTGACGCCAAGTGCCTGTCGATTGCAGCTGCGTCTATCGTGGCTAAAGTTACCCGCGACGCGATGATGAGGGACGCAGACACCGCCTACCCCGGCTACGGCTTCGCGCAGCACAAAGGCTACGCCACTCAGCAGCATCGAGATGCGCTTGAGCAACTTGGCCCCTGCGACATTCATCGCTTCACATTCGCCCCTGTACGACGACTTGCGGAAGCCGACGCATGAGTCTGTCGCAGTAGAGATCGGCGACAGCAAACAGGCAAGCTAGGAGAGCTTGCAGCGTGCCGCCAACTCGAAACCGAGGGCTATACCATTCTCGGCACGAATGTGCGCTGCGGCAGAAGCGAGATTGACATCGTGGCCGAGCACGAAGGAACGCTCGTGTTCGCCGAGGTGCGCACACGCCGCAGCCACTATCTGGGAACGCCTGAAGAGTCCATTACGGCGCAGAAGCAACAGCGGATGCTCACGGCGGCACATAGCTATCTCAAAGAAATGGACGGTTGGCATCGCACTGGCGCATAGACCTTGTTGCCGTCGAACTCGACCACCTGGACAGGATTGCAAGACTTAGCGTCATTCGTGACGCGGTAGAGCTTTAGCGTCCCTCAGCGTCCCATCGATGGGTCGGCATGCTACAATTCACTTCCTTGGACTAGCATTATCCATTGCGCGAATCCCCTGTGAGGAACTATGAACAATCACAACGAAAATCCGCCAACAACGCAGTCGGCAGGTGCGAGGCTTGTATGTCATCGTTGATCCAGACGCCACGAAGGGCAGAGATGTAATCGAGATCGCGGAAGCAACCCTTCGAGGCGGCGCGAGCGTCATACAGTTGCGTGATAAGACGCGCGACAAGGGCGAGGTGCTCCAGATTGCCCGCACTCTCAGAGCGTTGTGCGACGCGCACGACGCGTTGTTCATCGTCAACGATGACGCGGACATAGCCCTGCTGTCCGATGCGCACGGCCTCCATGTTGGGCAGACCGACCTGCCTGTTGGCGAAGCGCGGCGTGTCCTGACACCAGAGCAGATTGTGGGGCGCTCCAACAACGGCGTCGAAGAGTCGCTGCACTCGGCAGGGCAGGGTGCGGATTACGTGGCCGTGGGCGCGGTATACTCCACGACGACGATGGGCAAGAGTGGCAGAACCTCCCTCGGGCCCGACATGATACGCCAAGTCAAGCAAGCCGTATCCGCGCCCGTCGTCGCCATAGGTGGCATCAACGCCGACAACATCGCCGAAGTCGCCCGCGCCGGCGCAGACTGCATCTGCGTGGTGAGCGCGGTTACTTACGCTGATGACCCTGGGAGATCAACAGCCGAGCTTGTGGAGATAATTGAAAGCGCACGTTAATCTACGAGGAATACATCACTTGTCAGAAATATCGAAAGCACACTCCGACCGCATCCAGCAACTCCGCGCCATCGCGGACTCCACGCGCGAAGCGCTCGCCAACACAGACAGGACACGAGAGCGCGCTCTGCGCCTCTCCCGCGAATTGATACGCCACTCCGCCGACTCCATTCGCGCCATACATCGCGGTGAATTCGATACGGCTCGGCAGCTCATAGACAGCGCATCGTCTCTTGTCGAGGAGTCCGGAACTCTGCTGCGCGAGCATCCCGAAGTCTACTACACGGGCTACATGCAGGACGCGCTCAAGGAGTATGTTGAGGCGAACGCCGTTCTTGCCTTCATACATGACAAGCCGCTGCCCACACCGGTCGAGCTTCAAGTCGGAGCCGCTCCGTACCTGGGCGGGCTCTCGGATACCGTTGGCGAATTGCGCCGCTACATCCTCGACAGGCTGCGCCGCGACGATTTCAGCCGCTGCGAGCAGACCTTGGAGGCGATGGACGAGATATACACCATTCTTGTGACGATGGACTTCCCGGACGCCGTAACGCGCGGACTGCGCCGCAGCACAGACATGGTTCGCGGTATCTTGGAGCGAACTAGGGGCGATCTCACGGTCGCGCTGCGCCAACGCCGTCTTGAGGCGATGCTTTCTGATCGTAGTGACGATGTTTGAAAGCGCGCCAAACTTGACCTTGACATGTGCGCTGTGATACTTTTTTAGCGCATTGGAGACATCGCATCTACGCTATGGATTGCTAGGTCTGCCCATAATGGGGAGACCATTTTTGTGGAGGTAACCGTGGAGATACTACTTCTCGCTGTAGTGGCTGGTATCGTCGCCCTTTTGTTCGCGCTTTTCCTGGCGATGAATGTTGTAAAGCAAGATCCGGGCAGCGAGGAAATCCAGTTCATCGGACGCGCCATACAAGAGGGCGCAAATGCGTTCCTGCGCCGCGAATACACGCTGATTGCCGTTTTCGTCGTTGTCGTCACGGTTATTCTCGCTTTATTCATCGACTTCGACATCACAGGCAGGGTTGGAGGCGGAAGCAGCATCCCCGCCACAGCGATCTCCTATCTGATTGGAGCGATCGGCTCAGGTCTCGCGGGCTTCATCGGTATGAGCATTGCGGTGCGCGCCAACACCCGCACTGCTGTCAAGGCGATGCAGGGATTGAACCCGGCCCTCCGCGTGGCGTTCAACAGCGGCGCGGTAATGGGCGTATCCGTTGTAGGCATTGGCCTGCTTGGCGTCTCAATTCTCTACCTGATTTTCCGCGACATCACTGTCGTGGCAGGCTTCGGATTCGGCGCATCGTCCATTGCGCTCTTCGCTAGGGTTGGCGGCGGCATCTACACGAAGGCTGCTGATGTTGGCGCCGACCTCGTTGGCAAGGTGGAGCAGGGCATACCTGAGGACGACCCGCGTAACCCCGCCACGGTCGCCGACAATGTGGGCGACAATGTGGGCGATGTCGCGGGCATGGGCGCCGACCTCTTCGAAAGCTACGTCGGTTCGATAATCGCCACGATCGCGCTTGCCGCAGTTGGCGCGGCTGCTCTCGGAATCGCAAACCCCGGCGGCTTCGACGGGATGCTGCTGATGCTCCCCATTCTGGTCGCTGCCATTGGCATTTTCTCGGCGATACTGGGCACTTTCCTTGTGCGCACAGGCGAGGACGCAGACATGGGCAAGCTGCTCTGGTCGCTGCGCACCGGCATTCTTGCATCGGGCCTGCTTGTACTGATAGGCACCGGCGTAGCAATCTACGCGCTTGGATTAGATTTTAAGCTCTTCTGGGTTGTGCTCATTGGCTTGGTCGCAGGTCAAATAATCGGCACATCTTCGGAATACTACACATCATTCGAGTTCAACCCGACGAAGCAGTTGGCAGGGCAGGCGGAGACCGGTCCCGCGACCGTAATCATCGGCGGGCTCGGTCTTGGTATGCTGAGCACTGTCATTCCCGGCATCGTGGTCGTGGTTGCGATGGGACTCACTTATTGGATGGCAGACACCTATGGGGTCGCGCTAGCAGCCGTGGGCATGCTCTCTACCCTTGGGATCACCCTTGCCACAGACGCTTACGGTCCGGTCGCTGACAACGCGGGCGGCATAGCGGAGCAGGCACACTTAGACCCGTCCGTGAGAGAGCGTACCGATGCCCTCGATTCGCTCGGCAACACTACCGCTGCAACCGGCAAGGGCTTCGCCATCGGTTCTGCGGTGCTGACCGCTCTTGCGCTGATGGCCGCCTACTCGCAGGCAGCAAACATACAGGAGTTCGACCTGCTGAACATAAGAGTGCTGATGGGTCTCATCATCGGATCGATGATGCCCTTCCTATTCGCCGCGCTCACTATGCAGGCGGTTGGCAGGGCAGCAGGCGCGATGGTCGAGGAAGTGCGCCGACAGTTCCGGGAAATTAAGGGATTGCTTGAAGGCACTGCCGAGGCCGATTACGCTCGGGCCGTTGCCATAAGCACGAACGGCGCGATGAAGGAAATGGTGCTTCCTGGCTTGTTGGCGGTCATTGTGCCAGTAGCGGTTGGCGCGGTGCTCGGCCCAGAGGCGCTTGGCGGCTTGCTCATCGGCGCGATTGCTACCGGCTTCCTGCTCGCTATTATGATGGCGAACGCAGGTGGCGCATGGGACAACGCCAAGAAGTACATTGAGGCGGGCAACCTCGGCGGCAAAGGTTCGCAGCAGCACGACGCCGCGGTCGTGGGCGACACCGTTGGCGATCCGTTCAAGGATACCTCCGGTCCCGCGCTGAACATCCTCATCAAGCTGATGTCCATAGTGGCGCTCGTGTTTGCGCCTCTTTTCCTATAAATTGCAGGATTTTTCTCGTGCTTATAACCCCTGCCTGAGACTCAACATTTAGTCGTCTTCAGACTGATTGGGCGGCAGCGTGGATAGCGCTGCCGCCTTCTTCCTAGCCATACATTTCGGATTTCAAGAGAACCACCGCGCGCTCAAGTCTATGCTACAATTTATGTAGCGTTCCTTACTTGGCGAGGTTGAACGCGGCTATGCCGAGGTGGCGAAATGGCAGACGCGGCGGACTTAAAATCCGCTTCTCGCAAGAGAGTGGGGGTTCGAATCCCTTCCTCGGCACCACAAGCAACACATAAATAGGGGCTTGGCAATCAGCCAAGCCCCTATTGCTTTGCCGCTCTAAGTTCGCCCCTACGCCATGCTCATGACCTGATCCACGATGTCCACGCCAACCGTCTCGCTCCACGCCGCCAGAAGTTGCTGCGTTATGTCTCCCGGCTTGCCGTCCGCTACCTTTCGGTTATCAACCTTGGTGACGGGCAGTATGCAAGGTCCGGTGCGCGAGAAGAAGACCTCATTGGAAGTATAAAGGTCGTAGGGCTGCAGGTCCTCCTGGGCGACTGGAATGCCAAGCTGGGTTGCAAGGTCAAGCACCATATTGCGCGAACCACCTTGCAGAATCGTGCTGTCTCCCGGCGTCCTGATCACGCCGTCCGTGACCACGAACACATTGTTGGATGTGCCCTCGGTGATGTTGCCGTTCAAGTCTAACAGCAGCGGCCATGCTTCCGGGTCCACATCACCTGCCTCAATCTCCGCAAGCTCGAAGTGCATGCGGCTCTGGTGCTTTATCTTGGAGTCGAGTGATTCGGGCGAGAAACTGCGGGTGCGCGCTATGACGGCGTGCAGACCATCTGAGTATGCCGGCGCGTAGCGTCCAAGGTCAATGGGGCTGACGCGCACACAGACACTCGGCGGTCCGGCGCTGTGCGCCCAGATGCCCTTGCCTCGGGTTATGAACTGCCGGATGTAGTAGTCGCCGACTTCAGAGCGGGCAGCTTCGTTGCGCGCCACGACCTGCTTCACTGAGGGCAAGCATCTCGTCAGGTGACAGACCCGGGTCCATCCGGGCGTACTTTAGGGAGCGATACAGCCTGTCAATGTGGTAATTCAGCCGGAAGGTCCTTCCGTTGAATGTGCGCGCCACATCAAAGACCACATCGCCTGTCGTGAAGCCGCGGTCGTCCGGGTCTATCCGCACCTGGCTTAGCGGCACCCATTCTCCGTTGAAATACGATTGGTAGTCCGTCATACTTACCTCCTCTGTTCCGCGTATATCGATCTAATTCTCCGACAATTTTTGACAACTCTGGGTGATTCCATGAACCGAATGTATGACGAATTCGCTCATCTCTGGCCGCTCATCAGCCATCACTCCGACTACGAATTCGAAGCCGAACACTGGCAAGACGCTTTGACCGCCGAACTAGGGCAGGGCAGGTTGCGCATCCTTGAGCTCGGAGTGGGAGGCGGCAACAACCTGCACCACATTATATACTCCAACTGCGATGGGCGCCCATCCCGCGACCTCGCCTGCAATGGCGAGCACATGCTGCAAGACCAACCTGCTCATGATGCCGTTGTCGTTGACCTGTCCACCAAAATGCTCGCAAACTGCAAAATGCTTAATCCCTCCGTTCGGCAACACATCGCCGATATGCAGACCGTCAGATTATACGAAAGATTCGACGCCATTCTGATACACGATGCTGTCTGCTACCTGATCAGCGAGGATGACATCAGGGCAACCCTTGCCACCGCCCGCGAACACCTCGCTTCCGGCGGCGTCCTCATCATGGCGCCTGATTGGTACATCGAGAACTATCCTGGCACCCAATTGAATTGTCGCATCAGGCGCGACATCACGCCTGAGTTCGCCTCCATCGAGTATGACCACGATCCTGATCCCAGCGACAGTACCCTTGAGTCGGTGTTCATCTACATCATTAAGAACGAAGACGGCAGCGCAAGAGTCGAAGAGGACCGCCATATAACCGGAATCTTTTCTATCCGAACTTGGCTCAACCTAATTGAGCAGGCGGGCTTTCGTGCCAAGCGTCTGCCGTATCCGGTTCATGAGGATGGTAGAGACGGCTTCCTGCTAGTAGGCGTCCTCGAAGCCGAGGCAGACACACCAAGGCCGTCCTAACGCGCAATAAACCCTCCGTCAATAACAAGTTCCGTGCCCGTGATGAATGACGCATCATCCGACGCCAGGAACAGCACGCCGTTGGCGACCTCGATGGTCTCCCGTCCTGCGTAGGGGGGTCAGGCGTACCTGTTCCTCTCGCATGGCCGTATCGGGAACGGATGTCCGCATCGGCGGCATAAAGCCGGGATGCACAGAGTTCACGCGGATGTTGTCAGCCCCATACTGCACGGCCATCGCCTTCGTGAATATCCGCACTGCACCCTTGGATGCGTGATACGCCGGATGCCCGCCTTCACCGCCGACAAAGCCCATGATCGACGAGATATTGACGATGGAACCTCCGCCCGTCTCTTGCATCTGCTGCACGGCATACTTCGTGCCGAGGAACACGCCGGTTGCGTTCACATCCATAATCCGCTTCCATCCGTCGAGGTCCAGCCTGTCGTCCTCGGACGAACTGCTGACGCCGGCGTTGTTCACGAGAATGTCCAGCTTGCCGTAAAGCGAGATCGTCTCCGCAATGAGGCGCTCCCAGCTGTGCTCACTGGTGACATTGATGCGTACATAAGTCGCTTCGCCGCCCGCCTCCGCAATCTCTGCCTCCACCTTCTTGCCTTCGTCGTCCAGCACATCGGCTATTATCACCTTCGCGCCCTCTCGCGCGAACAGCCGCGCCTCCTCTGCACCCATGCCTCCTGCCGCCCCCGTGATGATTGCTACCTTGCCTTCCAGTCGCATAGCGTGACCTCCTGCGAAACCCAATTGACAGCCTGTAAAACCTGTTCTGATTAGGAGGCATTGTGCGCCAAAAGCCGCGCATTGTCTAGTGACCGGCGCCAAATGGGATACGTTGTCCTGTGTACATCGTCAATCGAAATGTCCTGCTCAGGCTATCGCCTTTATTCGCATCCCGATCTATCTCGTCTATCCCGTGTTTGCGCCTTAACGGACTACGGAGTATAATCCGCCAAAGATACACAAAATCCTCGAAAGGGAGGTTATTGTTATGGCAAGAGAACGAGGCGACGTAATCATCGGAGACGGCAATATCAAGTTTGGACTGGAGTACCGCGACCTGCTCAATGATCAGGGCGTATGCCTCCACGCATTGGGCGATGTTGATGGCGAAGAGGTCGAGTTGCTGCGCTTCGACTGCTTCGACCACCAGCCGCACTACCACTACGGACCGGAAAAGCGCAACACCCGCCTTATGCTCGATAAGACGACGGAAGGCGACTCGCTCGACTGGACGCTGAAGCAGCTCAACGAGCATCTGCCTGAAATGGTGCGCCGCGCGGGATACGATGAGCTTGCGGACAGCATCGACATGGATAGCCTGCAGGACGCGCTCGCCGAGACTGAGAGCACTGCGAAGCAAATGGCTGTGGATGGTCGCCGCACTGTAACGCATGACCGTGGCGATGTCATCATCGAGGCGGGACCCGTGCGCTTCGGCATCGAGTTCCGTGAGCTTATGAACGACAGGGGAGTGGCGATACACGTGATGGGCGATCTGGGCAGTGACGAATATGAGCTGCTCACATTTGACTGCTTCGAACGCGCGCCGCACTACCACTATGGCCCGCGAGCCAAGAATCAGCGTCTTTACCTTGACATGACCGCCACGCCGGATCCGCTGAACTGGGCGCTTGGCCTGTTCAAGGGCGGCAAGCTCGCGTCAATGCTGGAGCGCGCCGGTTACAGCGATCACGCCGCAAGGCTGAACCCCGCAGTGCTCGCCGAAAAGGTGGCCGAGGTGGAGCAGGTCGCAACAGAGATGCAGGCAGCCAACGCCAAGTAGCGCATAACGCTCATTCGTAATTAAAGCTAAGTATCCCTCCTGCGAAAGCAGGAGACCGGGATGCATTAGAGCGACACGCAGCCCCGACGATTGCATAAAATCGCGGGGCTGCGTTCGTAAAGTGTCCCAGAAACTAATTGTGAATTGGATTGAAACCTGATACGGTATTCAAGCGTTTTCTCTTCGCTATTTGCACGCTTGACACTGGCATTAGGCTTGCATTTTTGCGGGGAAGCATATCCCACGCATGAGAGTGAATGAATGAAGCGAACTCTACTAATTGCGGTCTTTGCGACCCTCGGACTTTTGGCATGTCTGCCGGATGTCTCGACCGAATTGTCTGAACCGGAGGCTCGCGCACTTATTGAGCGCGAGGTTCTCAATGTATGCAGAGGCAAGAGCACGACGATTATTAGCAAACTGTTGAACTCAGTCGAGGGCGCCGAACCTCTTGCAACAAGGGATAACTGGATTTTCACACTTGACGTCGCCGATTCTCAGGAAGACTTGGAGACGTATGTATTCCCCTCGAAGATCGTCTCAGGCCCATTCGTAGTACACCTGCAAACAGACACCTGCAAGTAGGCAACGCGATACATTTCTAGGGCATCTCGCGAAGGCGTCTCTGCGTAACCAGTATTAGCGTGGTCACGCCCAGCAGTAACACCGCGAGTATGCCCACCATTGCCTGACCACCAAGGTATTCCGCCAACGTGCCGGCGGGCAGCACTCCCAGCGGCATCAGCCCGAAGTTCAGCATGAACACGCTCATTACGCGCCCGCGATACCTGTCCTCAACCTCTTCCATGATCAGCGACTGGTTCAATGTGCGTCTGCCCGCGTCTCCCAGACCTAGCAGCACCATTAGCCCTGCGGCAACCAGATAGATAGGTATCAGCGCGATAAGCAGCAGCGCGATGCCAGACATGAAACTGCCGATGATCAGCAGCATGCCACGCCCACTTTTGCCGAGCGACGCTATGAACAGCGAACCCACCAACGAACCGCCGCCCATTATCGTAACCAGCAGTCCCATCGCTTCTGGCCCCATCCTGTACACATCCACCACAAAAAGCGGCATCAGGAAGCGGAACGGCATTGCCAGCAGCGATGTCGCCAGGCCCATCAGTAGTAGTATCAGCACCAGCGGACTTTGGCGGATATAAACCAGCCCCTCTAATATGTCGCCTAGCATTGGCGCGGGACGGCGGCCCGACCCCGTGCCAGTCTTGGGTAGTAACCCGGACAACAAGAAGGCGATTATTGCCAAGCCCGAAATTATGTAATAGACGTTGTACGGCCCCAGATAGGCGTAAGCCCAGCCCGCGAGCGCCGGCGCTGCGAGCGTCATCGCGCTCATTGCGGCGGCGTTCAGCGCCATTGCGTTGGACAGCCGCTCCTGCCCCACGAGCTGCGGGATTATTGCTTGGCGCGCAGGCATTAAGAAGGCGAATAGGCTGCCCTGCACGATGGACGCTACCCACAGGTGATACCATGCGACGACATCCAAGTGGATGGCGACGCCGATTACGATGGATAGCACCGCCGCCATGCCCTGACCGAACTGGATAATGTACTTGCGCTCGAATCTGTCGGCGAATGCGCCGCCAAACAGCGATAGGCCCAACAGAGGCACGGCGAACCCGGAGCTGACCACGCCCAGCAGGAATGGCGACGATGTCAGCTCATATGCTAGGTAGCCCCGCGCGATCATCTGCATCTGCATCCCGCCCATCATGACGAGCATGCCAAGCCACAGGTACAAGAAGTCGCGGTTGTCCAGCGAACTGAATGTGGTTCGCCAGCCCGACGTCGGCTGCGTTCTGCGCTCTGTGCGAGGCGTCGCTGCCGTGGGTGGCGTTGTTACAGTGGGTCTTGCCGATGCGGACGCCGGGGCAGACTGTGCTGCCAATACAACGGGCTGGCGTCTCGCGGGACTATCGGAGGCATCGGGCATATCGGAAAGTCTATACCCATAGGCGGACGGGCGCAAGCAAGCTATCGGCGACGAGACTGAAAGGATGGTGTCTCGGCAAGTGAAGGGCGGAAAGTGCAAAAAAAGGGCCTGGGCTGCAAGCGGCGCTCATCCGACTAGCGGTAGGCGCTCACAGGTGTTCAACCCAGACCCGTTCTCAAAGTTAATGAGGCCAATTCTACCACAACGTTGCGTGCGAATGATAGGATGTAATTGCTTCGGTGCGTACAGCCATCGGACCAATCCCCATTGGGGATCCTAGTACAAGCAGCCATCAAACCGCGATTGCTGAGGACACTTGAGAAATCAACGCAAAGGAAATGCAAAATGGCAAACACTTTCGGGCACTTATTCAGAATCACGACCTGGGGCGAATCGCATGGCGACGCAATAGGCGTTGCTGTTGACGGCTGCCCGCCAAGACTGCCCCTCGAAGTCGAGGAAATACAGAAGGAACTCGACCGCCGCCGACCCGGGCAGAGCGAAATTTCCACGCAACGAAGGGAGGGCGACCGCGCCGAAATACTGTCCGGCGTGTTCGAGGGTGAAACGCTCGGCACACCCATCCTCATCGGCGTATGGAACAGCGACGCGCGCAGCAAGGACTACGACCACATGCGCCGCGTCTATCGCCCGTCCCACGCCGACTACAGTTACGACGCCAAGTACGGCATACGCAACTGGAAGGGCGGCGGTCGCGCCAGCGCACGAGAGACCATCGGGCGCGTGGCAGCGGGTGCAATTGCCAAGAAGATTCTGGCTCGCGAATTCGGCGTCGAGATTGTCGGCTATGTCAAGCAAGTCTGGAAGCTGCACGCCGATGTTGACCCGTCCACAGTGACGCAGGAGGATGTCGAGTCCAACATCGCGCGATGCCCGGACCAGGACATGGCAGTGCAGATTATCGAGCGCATCAAAGAGGCGCGCAAGGACGGCGACTCGCTCGGCGGCGTGGTGGAGTGCGTGGCGCGTGGCGTGCCAGTGGGCTTAGGCGAGCCAGTGTTCGACAAGCTCGAAGCCGATCTCGCGAAGGCTGTCCTGTCCATGCCGGCCTGCAAGGGCTTCGAGGTCGGATCCGGATTCGGAGGCACTACGCAGACCGGTTCACAGCACAACGACCCGTTCTACAGCGAGGGCGGTCGCATCCGAAACGCGCACCAACAACTCTGGTGGCATACAGGGTGGCATCAGCAACGGCGAGGACATCATCATCAGGGCGGCGTTCAAGCCCACCGCAACGATAATGCGCGAGCAGGATACGGTCGATGTCGATGGCAATGAAGTAAAATTACGCGGACGAGGGCGCCACGATCCCTGCGTGCTGCCCCGAGCTGTGCCAATCGTGGAATCCATGATGGCACTCGTTCTCGCCGACCACGCCCTTCGTCAGCGGGGTCAAAGAGGCAGCGTGTAGCCTCTTCAGCTTGAGTCCGTTTCGGCTTGACTTCAGGCTATCTTCACTAATGCCTGTAACAGAAGAAGGGGCGCAGTCAATTGCGCCCCTTCGCATTTTTACGACTTCTGTTCCTGCTAAACGACCGGTGATGTTCCTCCGTCGATGTTCACTGCAACGCCCGTAATATAAGCGGCGCGATCCGACACCAGGAAAGTTACAAGGTCGCCCGCCTCACGTGCCTCACCGACACGACCTATGGGAACGCGCTTGCCCATCTCCTCATAGTAGGCTTCGAGAGTCAGGTCGGCGTTCTGTTCTTTAGCAGATTCCCAGCGCCGCTCGTGCTGCCCCGCCTTTATGAGTCCGATGCAGACAGGTGTTGACAAGAATGTTGTCGCCAGCGTAGTCCTTGGACATCTCCTTTGTCAGCGCGATGCCCGCCGCGCGGCTCACGGAAGTCGGCACGGATCCGGCTCCAGGCGCCTTGCCGCCCGGCGTCGTGATGTTCACGATGCGCCCGCCGCCATTTGCCTTCATCAGCGTATCGCCTTGTTCGAGCAGCGAATCGCCCCAAAAAGCTTGAGTTCGAGGTCGTAGCGCCATACTTCGTCGCTTATGGTCTCGAATAGGCCGGCGGCGGAAGTGCCCGCGTTGTTCACGAGAATGTCCAGCCTGCCGTACTTCTCGACGATTGTGTCAAATAGCCTCTCCACATCGGCGTCGCTGGTAACATCCGCCGATACCGGAGTGACCTCGCCGCCCGTTGCGGCTCGTATCTCTTCGGCGGCGGAGTCCAGAACTTCTTGCCTGCGCGCGCAGATGACAACCTTCGCGCCCTCAGCGCACAGCGATGTCGCCGCGCCCTTGCCTATGCCGTCGCTGCCACCCGTAACCAATGCGACCTTGCCGCTCAATCCCATATCCATAGTTTCAATTCTCCTTCGTTCAGTATTCTGGCGCGAATGCGCGCCCCGTGATTGCTATTCCTTGCTGTACGATTCGTCCAGCAGATCTGTGATGTACCGCACCTCAATGTTCATTCCGTCGCGCTGTGCGCCGTACTGAAGTTGCATCAGGCATCCCGGATTCGCCGTTGCGATGACATTCGCTTGCGTCTGCCGCACCGCGCGCATCTTTGTGTCAAGTATCCTCATCGAGAAGTCACGCTCTGTAATGGTGTATGTGCCGCCAGCGCCGCAGCACTTGTCCGCGTTGGACAGCTCGACAAATTCGATGCCGGGGATGGAGCGCAGCAATTGCCTCGGCGCTGCCGTCACGCGCTGTGCGTTCGACAGATGGCAAGAGTCCTGATAGGTAACGCGGTAGGGAAGGTGTCCCTTCGGCGGCTCAATCGGCAATGCTGCCAGAAGCTCATGGATGTCCCGCACCTTCGCGCTCAAAGTCTCGGCTCTTTCTGAATATGCAAGGTCGTCTTTGAGAAGATGACCGTACTCCTTCATACGCGAACCGCAACCCGCCGATGCAATGGCGACATAATCGACATCCTCAGCAAGAAATGCGTCAACGTTCTGCCTCGCAAGTTCACGCGCCGTCTCGAGGTCGCCCACATGTGAGTTGATCGCTCCGCAGCACACTTGCGCCTTCGTTACGACTACTTCGCAGCCGTTCCGTGTCAGCACGCGCACCACGGCGTTCATCTGCGGCCCGTTAATCAACGGCATCACGCAGCCGGACAGCAGCGCAACCCGCGCCTTTCGCTCGCCCTGCGCGTGATAGACCTGCCCCTGCGCCTTGAACACCTCCGACGGCAGTTCTGGCATCGAGCCTTCCAATTCACCCATATTGCCGGGCAGCAGACGAAGCAGCCCACTCTTCCTGATCGCGGTCTGTACGCCTAATCGCTGATACAGGCGCATGCTGCCAACGACCATCGACAGCAAGCCTTGATTGGGCAGCAGCCGCTTGAGCGCGAGCGATGCAATCTTGTCGTTGACGAAGTTAGGCTTCCGCTTGTCGGCAACCTGCTGCATCGTCGCCTCGATGAGATTGCCATAAGGCACTCCGGATGGGCACGCCACCTCGCAGGCACGGCACTGAATGCACAGGTCCCAGTGGCGTATCACAGAGTCCGTAATGCCGATGCGCCCCTCGTTGACCGCCTTCATCAGTGCGATGCGCCCACGCGGAGATTCAGCTTCTAAGCCAGTCTCGACATAGGTGGGGCAGGCTTGCAGGCAGAAAGCCGCAGTGAACGCACTTATACAGGTCCGACTCTTGGGGAGCGTCGGGCCCCACGAACAGGGACAGTCCGACATCGGTTTGCGACTTCTCGGGCGCGGTTGCCATTCAGATTCCTCCGGTGAACCTGTTCGGATTGAGTATGCCGTTGGGATCGTACTGAGCCTTCAAGCGCCGCATCACTTCCAGCGACTCGCCCGCGTAGTCCCAGACATCAATACTTTCCTTGATGTTCAGCGGCGCGCGCTCGATTATCAGCGAACCACCAAGGCTATGCACGGCTGTCCTCATGCTGCGGATAGTCTCGCTCAAAGCGGCACCATCGTCGAACCAGTGAGCGTTCATCATACCATAGCCAGGCTGAGCGACGATTGCCGCGCCATTGTGCGCTGCCAGTGCCTCGGCAACCTTGTCAATGCTGTTGGGCAGGACGGCAATACGCGCCGACATTACGGAGGCGTTGTCCTTGTCATAACCGAAGTCCGTCAGTTGAGACCAAAGTGACGCCGCCTCGTCTTCCAGCCTGTCAACCTCAGGCGTCTGCTCTCGAATGACAAAGAACGTTTCGTTCTCCATTCGCCTCAATGTGCGCGGCCTGCCTCCAAGCCGCACTGCAAGCCCATAATCGCCGCTCCCACCGCCGTCCTCCAGTCCGATTCTGTTGCCCACATTGCCATTGAATGCCGTCATTGCAATCGGCATCACGCCGCTGTTGAATATGCCGAGGGCGGCGCTCAGACACCCTGAAACCGAGTCGAAATGCGCCAGGAGCGTCGTTTCATGCCGTAGCATAGGCGTGAGCTTGAAGGAAATCTCGGTGATAATGCCCAGCGTCCCCAGTCCTCCCACATGCAGGCGCGCCATGTCATAACCGCTTACATTCTTGACCACATTACCGCCGCTCTGCGTAATCCTGCCGTCCGCCTGCGCCACTTTCATGCCTATTACCAGGTCGCGCGCGCTGCCGTACTGCCACTTCAGCGGTCCGCTGACCCCTGCAGCGAGCGTGCCGCCAATCGTGGCGCGTTCAGGCAGAGGAGCGTCCAATGCGAGAAATTGCCCTTCCGCCGCCAGCGTCTCGCGCAGGGTCGCCAGAGTTATGCCTGCTTCCACCGCGAGCGTCAGGTCTGCCGCATTGTGCTGCACGACACGGTTCAGCGCGGACATATCCACGACCACATCGAGCCGCTCTAAGTGATTGCCCAGCGCAAGCTGCGTACCACCACCGCGCGGCGCAACGGCAAGCCCTTCAGTATCTGCGAGGGCAAGCAATTCGCACAACTCGTCGGAACTTCGTGGAGAAATCACGACATCAGGTTTAATGCCGTCTATAGCGTCTGCAGTGCTCCCTGCGGTTACAACATCAGCGCCAAGCGCATCCGCAATAGCCCGTATTGGTGGGGTAAGGCCTTCTGTGGTCATGATGAGGTCTGGCGCACTGCTAAATCCACGCGCCTGCGCCCGCGCGAGCGATAGCGCCGGCGAATGCCACTTCGTTGCAGGACGCGCCTGTCGGGAATATCTTAGCCGGGTTGAGCAGGTCGCGCGTGTCGAATGCAGGCTTCAGACGCGCCATCGCCTCCAGGTCGTCATCGTTGAACATGAACGGCATGTACTCCTGCTTCTCCAGCCCGATGCCATGTTCGCCCGACAGCACGCCGCCCGCGTCCACGCACATCTTCAGTATCTCCCCGCCGAGGGCAAGCGCCTTCTGCGTATCGCCCGGCTTGCGTTCGTCGAATAGGACAGAAGGGTGCAGGTTGCCGTCCCCCGCATGCAGCAAGTTGGCGATGGGAAAGCCGCTCTGCTGTGATAGATCGCGTATCTGCGACAGCACTTCGACAAGTTTCGTGCGCGGCACGGTGCCGTCCACAAGCAGGTAAAATTCGGAGCAAGACGTCCCAGCGCCCCTAGCACGCCCTTTCGTCCCGCCCACAGCCTTTCGCGCGCATCTGTGTCCGTTGCGGTGCGTATCTCTATCGGGTTGAACTCGTTGCACACATTCTCGATCTCCTCCACCTCTTCCTCCACAGACTCGGACAGCCCCTCTACTTCAACCAACAACACCGCCCCCGCATCAGCCGGGTAGCCCGCATTCACCGCAGGCTCGACCGCCCGAATGCACAGGTCGTCCATCATCTCGATGGCAGCCGGCACTATACCCGCTGCGATGATGCCAGACACCGCCGCACTCGCCTGGTCCAGCTCACGGAAGACCGCAAGAAGCGTCTTGACCGCCTCTGGCTGGCGCAGTAGCCGAACGATGACCTTCGTAACAATCGCGAGGGTGCCTTCGGAGCCTATGATGATGCCGCGCAGGTCGTAGCCCGGCATCTCGCGGGCGCGCCCTCCGACCCATTGCAAAGATCCGTCCGCCATGACAACTTCCATGCCCAGCACATGATTCGTGGTAACTCCGTATGCGAGGCAGTGCGGTCCGCCCGAGTTCTCCGCCACATTGCCGCCTATTGTGCAAGCCTTCTGGCTTGAAGGGTCGGGCGCGTAACACAACCCGTACTGCGACACATGCTCCGTTAAGTGGAGATTAATCACGCCAGGTTCCACGACCGCGATGCGGTTCTCCACATCCACTTCGAGGATGCGCGTCATGCGCGTCAGCGAAAGTACGATGCCGCCCATTTCGGCGACAGCGCCACCGCTGAGACCGGTGCCTGCTCCCCTCGCCACGATTGGCACATTTCGTTTCGGCGCGCGAGCTTGACCACCTCGGCGACCTGCTCAGCGGTCTCGGGTATGACTACGATCGCGGGCATTGCCTTATCGGCTGAGCCGTCGTACTCGTACACAATCAGGTCTTCAGGCTTATACACGACATAGTCGTCGCCGACAATCCCCTGCAATTCGCTGATATGCCCTGTTTTATCCCGTCCGTAGTCGCCATGTCGCGCCTCTGCAATAGGTGGCAGTATCGTGGAAATATGATAGTGGATTGAGTATGGCGTTGCAAACGAAACGGCGCGGTGCAGCGCTATCTGAATTTGAACGTCCGTATCGCCGCCGCCGCAGACACGACTATCCAGCCGCAGACTATGGCAAGCTCCAGGGGAAACTCCCAGAAAGCCATAGAGTGAAGGATCACGCCCCTGACCATCTCCAATACGGGAGCGAGCGGCAGATACTCGACAATAAGGCGCAGTATCGTCGGCAAATTCTCCACCGGAAAGAAGACGCCCGACATGAACATAAGCGGAAGTCCGACCGCGTTGCCCAGTCCGCTTGCTGCCGCTACGGTCTTTGAGAACGCGCCCACAACGAAGCCCAAGTTGAGGAAGACTATGTTGCCCAGAACGACCAGCAGGGCGATGTGCAGCAGATTCCCCTCGACTGACACTCCGAACAGGAGCCATCCAGCCGCGAGAATTATCGCTGCCTGCAATACGGACAAAACGAGCGCCGACAGCACCCGCGCCGCGAAGAAAACGCGCACCTTCAACGGCGTGGCCAGAATACGAATGAGAATTCGCTTTTCGCGGTACGCCGCCATCGAAGTTGCGATACCTATGACCGAAAAGTTCATCACTCCCCAGATGGCAAGCCCGGGTATCAGAAAATCCAGATAGCTGATATTGCGGCTCGACATGCCTACCGGGTCGAGTTCCAGGCGGGTAGGGGCTTGAGCCATTTGCAAGTTCGTCCTGTCAACGAAGCTCGATACGACCCCAAGGACGATACCGCTCAACGGGTCATCTGTCGTCGTACAACAGCGTAATCTGCGCCGGCGGGTTGTCGGTAGCTGTTGCGGCGAGCCCCTCCGGTATCAAGAGCAGGTGTCCTAGGTCGCCCTTGCTGATCTCCCGTCGCGCAAGCCCCTCGTCATTCCGGGGGACAACATCCAAGCCCGGCACCTGCTCAAGGCTCTCGATGAGCTGCACGGACATGGAGTCCTGAGCGTTGTCTATCACTGCGAGAGTCTGCGCAGATTCAGTGTCCCTGAAGAACAGGCCAAACACAACAACGAATATGAGGGGAAACAGCAGCGCCCAGAACAGTGCCTGCCTGTCTCGCGCAAGCATCTTCAGATTGGCTATGGTCAAATGGAAAAGAAGCATAGGTAAAGAAGATTACTCCAACAGCGCATGTCCTGTAATCGACAGGAACACATCCTCAAGATTTGAGGGAACGACCTCAAGGTGTGTCAGCTTTATGTCGGACTGACCGCCCATTCCATCAGCGCGGGCACCGTGACTGAAGCATCTTTCGAGAACAGTCGCACGCCGGAATCTTCCGCGAATACCTCTTTCACGCCCGCAAGACCGCGAAGCTCTTCCATTCGTTCGCCGCATTCCGCGCCGACCTTGACTTGGTACGGAACGGGCAGGGAGCGAACCAGATTAGTGGGCGTGTCCAGCGCGACAATCTTGCCCCTGTCCATGATGGCAATGCGGTCGCAAAGATACTCCGCCTCTTCCATGTAGTGCGTGGTCAGCACGACAGTGCGCCCTGCTCTGTTGATAGCCTGCACAAACGCCCACAGGCTGCGTCTCGCCTGTGGATCGAGCCCAGTCGTGGGTTCGTCTAGGAACACCACCTCGGGGTCGTTGACCAGTGTGGCGGCAATGGTAAAGCGCTGCTGCTGCCCGCCTGAGAGTTTGGCAACTGTTGTGTTCGCCCTGTCGGCAAGGTTGACCTGCTCCAGCAATTCGATGGGTGCAACCCTGCGATTGTAGAACATGCCGAACAGGTCAAGAATCTCTTTGAGCGTGAGGAAATCAAAATACGCCGACGCCTGAAGCTGTACGCCGATGCGTTCCTTGACCTTCTGCGGCTCGCGCTGGGTATCTATGCCAAGAACGCTGGTCTTGCCGCTGGTAGGTTCTACAAGCCCCTCTATGCATTCCAACGTGGTGGTCTTGCCTGCGCCGTTCGGTCCAAGTATGCCGAACACTTCACCGCGCCCAACACCGAATGAAATGCTGTCAACCGCCTTCAGCTCACCATAATGCTTGGACAGGTCGTCCACCTGTATGACTATGTCATCAGGTATGTCATCAGGATTGAATGAATCCGCCATGCCTCTCCTTGCGGCTAACAGACGTCTTGCTTCGATCCACCCAATATGTTAGCAGGTAGCGGTCTCCCAATGCCATAATTACGACCGCGAGCGACCTTCGCAGACACCTCTGGCTCAGTCCACAAGCTGCCTTGCGAATGCCATCGGATCTGTCACCGGAAGTTGGCAAACATAGTTCTCACACAGGTACGCCGTAGGCAACCCATCGACCTTGCGTCTGTCAGCAAGCAGCGGCAGGCCGTTCGCCTCAGTTTCGCCACCGCTCGCGCCAAGCAGCACGCGATTGGGAATGTAATGGCGGTACGCCTCTGCCAACAGCGCATCCGTACCGGAGTCGCCCCGCTCACCGACAATGACGATTTCCTTAGCGCGTGATAGGTAGAAATCGAGAGCGCCTAGCCAGTGTCCGGCAGCCGTGGGAAAGGTCATCATAAGTTGACGCATGGAGCGCAATGCCGTCGATGCCCGCCGCTCCATATCACCGTCGCCCGTGATAACGGCAAGGCGCAGCAGCACATCCACCGCCATTGAACTCCCGCAAGGAATCGCGTTGTCTGTGACATCTTTGGGGCGCACCACAAGCTCCTCGTGGTCGTGTCCGGTATCGAAGAATTGCCCCGACGCCGCATCCCAGAACAGCTCCACCATTGCATTGCCCAGCCGAATCGCCGCATCAAGCGTGTCGCGGCTGAAGTTGACCTCGTGAAGCGCAAGCAGTCCGTCTATCATGAATGCGTAGTCTTCTAGGTAACCATTCAGCTTGGCGCGACCGTCCTTGTACGTGCGAAGCAGCCTGCCATCCCTGAGAAGGTTAGTCAGCAGGAACTCCGCGTTACGCTCGGCGATTTCGGCGTAGTCCCTGCGACCGAGTACCGCCGCCGCTTCAGCGAAAGCGGCAAGCATCAGCCCGTTCCACGAAGTCAGTATCTTGTCGTCCAGTGCGGGCGCAATCCTCTCATTCCGCACTTCAAGCAGCTTAGCCCTCGACCGGTTCAGTAGCTCGCCAAACCCAGAGGCGTCAAGCCCCTCTTCGCGCGCGAGGTTTGCGGCGTCCATCGCCACGCGTAGGATGTTGCGCCCCTCAAAGTTGCCGTGCGTTGTTACCCCGTAGTATCGGCAGAATATCTCGCCGTCCTCATCTCCCAGCGCCTCTGGTTTATCTCCCGTGGAAGCCAGACAAAGAACTTGCCCTCGACGCCCTCGCTGTCCGCGTCCTGCGCCGAGTAGAACCCACATTCAGGCGATGTCATCTCGCGCGTCACATATTCCAGCGTCTCCTCCACGATGCGACTGTACATCGGATTGCCCGTAATCTGGTATGCATGCAAGTAGAGGCGCACAAGCAGCGCGTTGTCGTAGAGCATCTTTTCGAAGTGCGGTACGAGCCAGAATGTGTCGGTCGAATAGCGATGAAACCCGCCGCCAATCTGGTCGTATATGCCGCCCATCGCCATGCGCTGCAATGTAAGCTCGACCATGTGAAGCGCGTCCGCGTCCTCGGTTCGCAGATAGTGACGCAGCAGGAACTCATAGGTCATTGGTTGAGGGAACTTGGGCTGCAAGCCGAAGCCGCCGTGCCTGTCGTCGAAGTCGCTCGCCGCCTTGCGCATCGCCAGCCGCATCACTTCGTCAGTCAGCGGCTCCACGCCCTGCTGCGCGACGCGCAACATCTGGCGCATGCGCTCCTAGGAGGTGCTCCGTATTCTGCAGCACATCACTTCGGTTGTTGCTGTATGCGTCCGAAATCGCCTTCAGAGCACGCGCGGGAAGCTCGGCATGCCGCCCCTGTCCTCAGGCGGGAAGTATGTGCCGCCGTAAAAGGGCTTGCCGTCAGGCGTCAGGAAGACGGTCATAGGCCATCCGCCGTGCCCGGTCATCGCCTGAACGGCCGTCATGTATATGGAGTCGATGTCAGGACGCTCCTCGCGGTCAACCTTGACGCTCACGAAGCTGATCGTTCATCTGCGCCGCGATGTCCGGATTCTCGAACGACTCGCGTTCCATCACATGACACCAGTGGCACGCCGAATATCCCACGCTCAGCAGGATGGGCTTATCGTCTGCCCGCGCCCGCTCCAGCGCCTCTCGCCCCACGGATACCAGTCCACCGGATTGTTGGCGTGCTGCAACCAGTACGGGCTGGTCTCGTCAATCAACCTATTCGGCATCTTCCGTCCTTGTGTCTTGTTTTTCCGCCTCGGCGCGCTCCAGATTCAGCGCGAGCAGCCTATCCAGAATCTCTTCGTCCGACAGATCGTGTGGCCACGCGTATGCGTCCGCGACCGCTGCGTCGAGCTTGGCGTGGGCGTTCCGAAGCCATGTTGGATTGTCGTTGTACAAAGTTGGTGAGCGTCCGTCGCCGCTTCTCCTGTGCACTCAACGCCGGCTCGCCCAGCATGTTGAGCGGGTTGAGCCAGTTCTCCCGCAATTGGTTC